TTTGGCTTCACCTTTCAACTACGTAAAGTTCGACTCTAGTTATGACAAAATCCCATATTCGGTTTTTAAACTTATCTCAATTTTTATTTACAAATATGGCATTCCATGTTTTTGCTATTCCTGTGTTTGTGTTTTTAAAGTCCCAAGAGAAAATTGAATTCTACAATGCTGTAAGATTTTTCCTTCTTTTCACGTGGCGACGTCGGATATCTTATATATATATATATATACAGTATGTTGGAGTAAATGTAAAAAATAATTTGTGTTACGAAGAAAAAGGAAATTGGTTGTTAATAATGTAAGAGTTCTATTCACATGTTGGTTTATGAAAGTAGATTCAAAGCAATGACAACTCATTGGTCAACTTGTGTAATAGGCAGTAGACTACAGCTAAACAAAATGGTTTGCAACAAAATGAGCACGTGAGAATCTTTTCAAGTCCTCCTGGAAAAAGTTTAAATCTAGCCTATAGCTTTGACATGTAATGCTGTTTTCACGTATGCGAGCTTCATTGACGGAAGAAATAATTCCACACCAAATGATGCACACTTTCTTACGTCACATTGGTACTGAAATTATACAGTGACAATTCCTTGTTACTTATAGTCTGCATGGGTTAATATGGCCTATAAGAAAACCTCACCTTGAAAATTTAATGAACTCATGCAACCTGTTTATGCAATATTTAAAATATAATTATACTTGCGGTGTGCAATCTTAAATGACATGTTTTTCCTAACCTGATATTTCTTTATAGCGTGCAATGTTGTTCTATTCAACCATCAACTATTAACCCGTATAATTCGTTAATCATACTGTACTTGTCTTAGTTGTCTATCATTTTCATAATTATCCTAATGATATAAGAATTATCCTATATGTTTTATTACTGTATATTATTTCTTTTGAATATTGTATTTATATAAATGAGATCTTTTGAGTGCCTTCATTGAGCTTTAATCTTTACAAATTTCCCTCCTATACTTCATTGTGATTAGGTCAGTTTGATCACCGCATTGGTACATTTACATTGATAATGACCATGCTGAAAACCTCTTGAACGCCCCAACTATACTAGATCCAGGATGGAGTGTAATTATTTTTATTCCCAGTACACCTTTCAAATCTATTTTTATCAATGCGGACCCCACGACAAGGGCTCAAGTTTTTATTAGCAAAAAATATTTCTCATAGCATTGAGTCAGCAAACATATATATAGTTCGACTTATGACATTCCCTATAAATATATGTCCTATGAATATATAGGATGCACTCAGTCTTCCACATTATCAAGTCCAACATTCCTCAGATGTGTATAAATTTTCTTCTTGCCAACACATGCCTTACAATGAAAGCTTTTCTCCCAATTGTCATTATAAGTTTATCATTAGGTTTTTGAATGTACTTGACGTTGACAATGTGAAAGTTTTATTTATTTTTTGCATAAGTTGCTAAGTGAAATATTTCCCAGACTTTACCAATTTTCGTGATCATGATTTTCAGAAGTGGTTCTCAATCTTCTCCAAATCTTTTCTGTAACTGTTTTCCACATCGCTGCTCCTTTCAAGCCCCAATGCACATATCCACTGATTTGTTATCAGCTGGCATATTAAACAAAAAATCCAATTAACTCAATATTAGATATCTATTTAGGATGTTATTATTTCTGTATTTGCTTGTTAGTCTTCTGTAATAGAAAAAAAAATTGTGGGCCTTTCTTTTGCATTAAAACCCTAGTTCTGTATCATATAACATGGTACCAATTTGGGTACAAAGCTCAAACAATTATATAGCCAAACCTAAAATATATATATCGTAGAAAACCAGACAACCTTATCCATTCCCTTTTATAACATATACTAACCTGAGAATTCCTATACAGTATATATGCATAATTAAAATAATGAATATGGGGGGAGCTGACTCAGATGACCGTATGGTCGTATCGCTCCTCCCAGTCTATACCGAAAAACTCTACATGTTATTGTATATATTTTTATTGTTGCTATTGTTTCAGAATTTTTTTTTTTTTTGTTGACGAAAAATAAATCTCTCTCTCTCTCTCAAACTTTACCAACATCCCGGAAGTTCGATACATTCGAGTATCTTTTGTTTGATCATTTCTGGCCCAAGCCTCGTTTTCACTAGGTTTGTGTTTTTGTAATTTATTTTTGTGTGTGTGCTGGTGGGTGGGTACACGATATCTCTCATGTTTTAAACTTTTTTTAAGGTTTTGCTCGCCCTCCAGAATTCTCCATTTTAAATTTGTGTATATTATGGAGTGTTCAAATAAACTATCTATCTATATATCCATGAACGCAGGGAAACGGTATTGAAATAAATGTTCTATCGACCGTTGAAAATTCTCAACAACAATTGTAATTGTTTTCACTGCTTGTATATCACGTTATGTTGTGAAAACGCGTTGCTCGTGGCATCGAAAGTCTTAATTTTAAGCGGTTTCCGGTTTGTTTATTTTTGTGTGGGAAGAAGATTTTTCTTATATAATTACTGAAATTGCACAGTTCTATGTTTATAATTTCACAAGACCACGTTTGTTATTAATTACCCCGTCAAAACCGAATTTTACAGAAAATTATTCTAAATTTTCATGAATTATACTCGGGCTGCGCAAAGATAAGTTTTGGTTGATAAAATAACATAAATACACTCTAAACGTGAATTCGGGCGTTTCTTTGCGTCAGATTTGAATTCGACAAATGAAATGCAATCAGAATACAGAGTTAATCATATTATGCGCTATTGAGTAGGTTACAACGGAACTATCTATACTTATCCTTTTTGTATACTCTTGCGCGGGGGATCTGTATGCATATAATACAAGGATGCTATAGCGAGATTGGAGCTAAGAAATTCAAGAGATTCGCGGCACACCAACGCAAATATATGTCTATAACGTTTCATCGTTGAAAAAGAGTTCGTGTCAGCCTGGCGATCATTCCACATCCCACACTTATTGGTCGTATAAAATCGAATACAAATGTGGTTGCTTGTGTCATTTAACAAATTGCGCATAGTATGAGTAATATGACTAAATACTCACAAAAATTTAGGAATCGTGAAATTGATTTGTGTATGTTAATAATGAGCACTAGAAACAAATCGACGTTATCAACACAAAAATAGTCCTCCACAATACAGCAACAATAATTAATCACATACAAAGTGTTTGGATTCCAATCAATACAAAATGCCCATCACCGATTTATTACCATGAGTCGTTTCATCTTGCTGGAGGTGGTAAAAAAGTTTTTGTCAGTTAGTCGCAGACACCGATGTCTCGCGTGGTAGCTGGTTAAAAACGGGATGGGTATAATGCCTCAACCGCCATCTGAATGGCCTCGGCTACAATGATTCGCAGCCTTTTTTTAGTTTGAGGACCAGGAAAATTTTAAAACTAATTCTGCGGACCGTTGAACCTTTAAAATTAAACCAGAATATCAAAAACACAAAACATAGTTAAACGAATGTGATTACGACAATGCAATTCAAAAGCAGACAATTCAATTTGATGAGAAATTTTCTGCTGTCCTTCAGATATATATCAGGGGTGGTAAACGCGATTCCAAGTTTCTGCAAAGCGAGGTAAAGCGTTGACTTCCACACGATTTGGTCTCGATGAGAGATAACGAAAAATGCTTTTCTCACATAAGCAAGTTGTACAAAAAATCAGCAGTTATTTAATGGATTTGTCACCTATCTCAAGATATACTTTCTAATCTAATGCGATATCCAAAACTGTGACAATGGTATCCAGCCGTTCAGAACTTGAAATGGGCGTAGGACCCTCTGACCATGTTTGGTTTACGCATCAATAGGAGGTAAAACTCACATAATAAATAGGCAGGCCATCAATAATAAATGTGTGTAATGTATTTGGCGGATCCGCAGGAAGGTTGACGGCGGTTGAGAACCACTGTCGTGGGGGGATTATCATGCTGCCATATTGATTCTACACACCACCAAATAAATAATTAGTCATTCAAACCGCAATTTTTTCATATCTGTAAATTTCTAAACTAGGTGATAGCGATAGCGGTTTTCGAGTAACTCTCCAAGCCCTCATCTATCTATTTAATGCCGTCGATCTATAGCGTCATTGCTTTAATCATAGTAAGTCACCGTCTTTGTCAGATACGTCGAATAATCAAAATTTTAAAAATTCAAGAGGTTAATTTGAATTTGGGCCGACTAATGTGCCGTAACTTTTGATTAACATTTAGAATCGATACATTAAAAACCACAATGAGAGCACGACAACTGTTTATTATGTGTCAAATTTTGAATATTTTATTCTAGATTATATTGCAGAAATTATTATATTTGGAGTTAATAGGAAAACGAGATTTTTTCGACACATAATAGAAGGTTGAACACTTTGCATTCGATCGTGCGATAGAAATTTACATAGCCTCGGGGTCGGTGTTTGTATCAGGCAGAATATTTCACGTTTCATACGATTTTAAGTACAAGGGTGATTGTATAAGGCATAAAAATTGAGGCTTGAGGCTACATAGACATGGCAAAAGTAGTTCTGTGTTTCGTTTTTCCGTCAGTAAATGACGCCTATAGTTGAAATTTTATTTTTTTGGGGAAATTTTAGGTGTCGAACATACGAACTTTGTAGCGAAATTTGTTGAAAATATTAGTCTACTATATATAATATATATTTGACTTTTTTAGGATTTAGTCAGGGTCGGAAGAATATAGTTTTCTGCCCCAGTTTGACTGTCAACAGCATATATATAATTATATATATATAAATAAATATGTATTCTGGGATTCTCTAGCACAGGGTTGAGTAAGTTCGGGTTATAAGCAAGTATATCTACTTTTATACGTACAAAAAGAACTTAAAATTTTCCGCACTAGATTGAAATATACAATAGTCTTCAGTTGACTCAGAATTGCTATTTCACTGGCTATATATTTTTTTCTTATCTTCGTCTAATTGTACTTGACAAATTGCGCCATGTCTACACATTCCTTATAGTTTACGTAAGATCGTGAAATGAGAAAACTATGTCTTCTGAAGTTGAAGAGACGCATAAAATCAAAGCATTGACGTCAGCGTTACAAGAAACAAAAGATGACTTAATTCACTGGACATTAATTCCCAACGAAGACGGAGATACGTGAGTTGAATTACTGTTTGATTCGTGAATATTGAAGTTTATAATGAAAGCGAAGGTTGTTGCTTGTGGCGGCATAATAGGGGTAATAACGCTTATCACGTACTTGCCAATGTTTACTAATTTATCCCATTTTTGAAAGTACAGAGTAGAATCTGTACTTCCGGTTGTTAAGATGACTGAACTTGTACTTCTAATGTCACGCCAACTGACCCAACAAAACTAAACTTTCCGACAAAATGAAATGAATAACTAACAACGAGAGCGAAATAGTACCGATCGAGAGCCGTCTTATCAATCTTGCTCACCACTAAAATTTGAGAAAAAAAAATAGTACAAGTTCGCCAAAATAGGCGAAGGGAGGAGTTTAACGACAACGGTTGGGAACCACGGACGTAATATATTTATATATACTTGCCATTTCGCATCAACGTAATTCTGAGAGTGCTTTACGTGACTCTAATCAACGATGGAAAGCGGAGTCATTCACACAGAGTAGTAAAGAGACAAACGTGAACGGGAAACATTTACTAGATGTTTTAGAAGCTGAACTTGGTCGAATGTATAAAGTGAAAGAACGTAAAAGTCCAAACTTTTTACACGTACCATATACGTTTCGCGGTGTCACAAAACAACATTTTTTTGACATTCTTATATAGTTTCGAGTAGACTTTCGTGATTTCTAAAAAGTTCTGTCTTTACTTTTCATCTCGTACATTGGGGAAATACTAGTGAATGTGTTTATACCAGCAATTCCCAAATTATTTTTCGTGCAGCGCCAAATTATAGGGGAAAAAAATCACGGTGTACTTACACGAAACAAAATGCTGCTTTTAAATAATTCTCAATTTTGTGATCGTTAAAGTATATTATATGCCTTTTGAAGTTTGTAGACATGTAGGTCTAAGGAATAAATGCAAAAGATCAACTATTCTTCTTCATCCCTGCCTGATTTACCTTTGAAATTCTAAACAAACCACTCATATTCGCTAAACTCGGTTCAGTAGATGAATAAACTGTGGCTCGCGAAATTGTAGCAATTAGTGTATGTCTCTATATGTACGTAAAAAAAGGTAAAATAAATTTATTAATTCATATAAACCGCATTTAAAAAAAGATACAATAAAACATTTATAATAAATACAACATGTAAAATATTAAATCATATATTATTTATGTTAATTATGTTTATACAATTCTGTTAATTTTCGCGGCGCACTTGGCGCCAGTTTGGAACCGCTGGTTTATACCATTAATCAAATCTACCACCTGCCAACTGTTTGAGATGAGCTGTAGACACATCATAGTGACCCATAGAGTGAATCTAGTTTCCTCGTTATATATATATATATACTAATCAAATCGTAAAGCATTTGGGTTCGCATCCACTAGCAGAATCAATTTTATCAACCTTCACCCGTCGAAGATAGTTAGCTACGAGATGTATATAAAATAACTGGTTTTTCTAGTGTATTTACAATTAATAAATATAGGAAATAAAGGTGGAATTGCACGTATATATATCCGTGTAAAGCGCCTATACACTAGCCCAAAGTGACTATAACATATAGTTATAGTCACTTTGCACTAGCCTACCTGTCTCTCGCTTTTGCGCGCAATATTTGTCGTAATTATTGGAGTGGATCTAATACAGCCATATCAGATGTCGATGTACATCACTTAGCAATGAGTTGCCAAATATCTATCTATTGAAAGTTTCATAACCGAATTGAGGTGTTCTGAGTAACAGATTTGAAGTTACAGACTGTGTCATCTCTTGTGGTTTTAAGGGAATACTGTCGAAAATCTTTTTATTTTTTTTTTGTATCCTAGATCCTCGTAATAAATTGAACAAAATTGTCAAAGTGTATCATTATTGCAATGAAAATGAAGGGAAGAAAGATTTTATGATTTGAAAATTCTTACCGAAATTATTGTATTCTGCGAGAAATACGCGTCGGTCTGAACTTATTTATTTGCATACTGTTAAAAATATATCATAATGGAACTCTGAGTCAAATTGAGTGTGATTGCGTATAAGCTAAAAAGACTACGTTGAGTTCTTTCTCTTTAAATTGTTTTCATGGCTTCCTTCGGTCTGGTCTGGTTTTATATCGCTTTGAACAAACTAATGATTTCCTAATATATCTGTATAAAGTATGAAGTTTTACAATTGCTTTCAATCCTTGATTGATGCGGTACTATATACGCCATCCAAATGTTGGCGCTATAACCTAATCAACGCGCCTTCTTCATTCTGTGCTTAAAGCCACCATGCGGATTGTTCGATGTTAACCGGTGAAATATATAAGCGATTCGGACTAAAGTCAAGTGAAACAAGTTACGGCATTTTAGAACGACATTTAAAAAGAATGGACGTAATTGATAATAAAAACATCGCCGACGTAAAAAATGCATTTTACCTGTTTATTTTCTTTGCTACCCATTATTGCTTTCTCCCAATTCCTTCCTGATATTGATGATCCATCTCTATTTCTAGCTTGGTTCAAATTTTCATAAAAAACGTTCTACATGCCATACTCTCGTAGTAGTCAATATGCTAACTAATTTACGTTTTTATATTTTTCTAGTGCTATACATCTGGCCATTATCCGTGACGATATCAATCTTTGTATTTACCTTTGTCGTCTTCTAGCAGCCCAAGGAATTGAACTTGATATTAGAAACAATTTGATGCAAGTAAGTGGTGTTTAGCATATTTGCTACTGATCTTTTATATTTCTGTTGTAGCCGTAAACAAAGTATGAATATTTTGGCGTCAACAGTTTACGTTTATGGAATCCAACAAGTATCATTTCAACGGCAATAATCGGGCTGAATTCTCGATTCATTCAAATTTGTCTTCAAATAAATAAGTTGTTGATATTTATTGCGATAAAATATAGCCGATAAGACCCATGTAAGTACCCATAAGTGTACGCATATAGGAAACAGGGTTATTCACCAGGATTCTATTCCTGGTCAGGCATGGGGATAGCTTGTCATTGAATCATTCCAAATGCAATATGCTTGGTTTTGAGTATAAATGTTTAAATAATATTTCGGTATTCAACAATCATCTTAGCCCACCCTAACTTAACGTACGACGTTGAGATTTCACCCGTGGTAGGATTCAAGTGGTCGACCCCTTATTGGAATGTCGTGGTCGTCAGGGAACCCGTTCTAAACCCATGAGTCACATTCATTTTCTGAAACGAGAGAACCTGCTATTAACGAATTCAATAAAAAGAGAACCCGTTCGTGAAATTTTTGAATCTCACCACTGGATTTTACACGGAATATACTATACGTTACGGAGAACATGCTGTAGTTATTACCGGCATGTATTTATTGACTTATGCCTAACCTTTGGGCCTAACTTTGACAGTATTGATGTTTATAAGGTACATTCTCGACCACTTATTACATGTTATGGATGTGGCCTCTCATTTCTCTGGCCCTACGATATCGACTAACGAGACGTCACTATATTTGTATGGAAAATTTTAAAATTATGTGACATAATTAAAAAAAATAATCCCAACGTTGAGATCTAATATAATAATGAACAGAAAAATGATGAAATCAGTGCGGTTAGTATTTTATAATTTGTTGCTGAACACAGTTTTCACCGAAACGCTACGCTAACATTTCCTGATATTTTCTCCATATTTGAATAGGAGTCGAAACTTTCGTATCGATATTTCAAATGACGATACCCATAACCACAGTATTTTGCTAATATAATGGAAATACAATGCCATACGGGTTCATGACACGTAAACGAAAATTGTACTAGCATTGCTCAATTTTTGTTACCGCCAATGGAGATGGAATAGCATATTCATGGACGACAATTCGGGCCCAGTAAAAAGTACACGATTAGGCTCACGTAACATAATGAATGCTTTCAAAATATGAGCGGCAAAATATTACAATGCATTACAACGCATGCATTTTGAATGGTATGGAACTCGGATATTTTTTTATAGTTATGTTCTTGAGACTGTTATGACCTTGCTTGCTTGTGATTTACGTTTTAATCTTCAGTATTGTCCAGCAGCGCGCTATATCGACCAACAAGAACTAAACTTGCATAGTAATAGAGATCGTAACACGCCGTTTTAATCCTTATAGTCAAAAAAGATTTATGTATGGTACTTGTTCGTAACGAACGATGTTACTACAGGATGTAATTTTAATTTCTTCAACGAAGGAATTTCTTTATCAGCGCTTTCTGCTCTATGTCGTAATACGAGGAAAGTAAAATAGATACTATCGCACGTAATTATCACGCAGGTATATCTTTTTGCTGACAAGGCTTATACGCCGCCCTTAAGAAACAAGTGAGTTATTTGATGTACATATGGTCGGGAATTATTTTGGTATTAATTCATGTAGTGATAAAGCATTTCTTGTTAATATTATTAAATTTAGGATAATCGTTAATTTTCGCTTTCTCGGTTTTATAATGCTTGTATATAATTCAATGAAAAAATTTAGGAAATAAATTGTTATGAAATATACTAAAAAAATGCTAAAGTTAGTTCCATTTTCTATAATACTTTTCTTAATATAGATAATAGAACACAGCCATTAAAAATAACTCGTGTGTTGAGGTTATAGCACGCTACATCAGCTTCGTAATACGACTAATTAATTAGAAATGTTCAAGTATCAAACAGTTGAACAGTTTCTATCTTGACCAAAGTGGCGAAAATGTTACTTTTTAAATTTATTTCCATGTATCCAATCATAAGTTGTAAAGTTTTGTTCATTCTGAGAATGTGGTATATATATATATATATATATATCTTACAAAAACACATACTCTACTTATGTTATATATATATATATTTAATAAAAATGGTAGGACCCAACTTGGTTAGGTTTAGAGCAATCTTGTTTATAAAACATCCAGTAGGTCCACCTTTCGGACCACGCTTCTCATTATCCCACTGTAGCAATGGGAAAGACCCTACGCTGTAGCGCAGAAAAACAGCGACTAGACGTTACGTTAACATGAGGTTATTTTAATATCGTTTTTCTTGGCACATGTGACAAATCATAATTCTGTAGAGCAGGGGTCGGCTAACTACGACCCGCGGGCCAGATCCTGCCCGCGGAACAATATAATCCGGCCCGTGAAGCTCCAATGAATTATATTAACAAAACAACTGTATTGACGATTATATTCTTTACGTAACAGAATTTGTTTTGAGACACTAAATTCTATTATAACCTAACGAGTATATAATTCACAATCACTCGTTTAATGTGCATATAAATTGATTGTAATTAAACAAATGGCAACAGATCGTATAAAAGTTGATGCTGAGTGCAAATGGTTTAGTGGCGCAGAAAATATTCGAATGATCAGTCTTCGAGCGCTGCTTGAAATGTAACTAAAATCTGTGTGAAAAAAATGTGATTCATTGGCCATTCCCTCGGTTTTCAACTTTCTAAAAATATGTGCGGCCCGCCAATGACTTGCAACCTTTAATTTTGGCCCGCGAACGACAAAAGTTTGCCGACTCCCGACGTAGAGAATAGTAAAATCATATTTTTCACACTGTTTGATAAATAAATACATGTTTATCATCTTCCATTATGAAAGTAGTTTTAAATAAAAATTAAAAAAAGAACATAATTTATTGTCGGTGTATAATGCACAAATTTTTCCCAAACCCAAGTATGGTCATTTAGCAATAAGGCTTGTTACTAGGCTAAAACTGCTTGATAATATAACTCTAGCCTAGAGCATGAATATTTAAAAAAAAATACAAATTATGATTCACATCCGAAAATTTCGAAAGTGATTACGCCCCCTCGTCCAATGTCACTGTCAGTAAAGCCTACTTTTTCTTTATTATTCATTTCCATCTAGACAGAGTTTGTGTAAATTCACGTCAATATTTTTCAAAATTTAATACTCTGAATCTGAAACGGGGAACAATAATTTTTTCCTTCTTAATAATTCCGTGCTCAAATGATGAGAAACAGAGCCGTACCTGTCGGCTTACTGATATTCAACAATTCTTGACCTGGCACTGACATTTCTCACTCAGATTCGTCAAAAACACCATATTGATTATAATCTCTACAAGTATCGCAATCGAAAAATGCGATTCCATATTGTGATACAAACTGGCTCTGCTATTTATTCTATCCGCTCTTTAAGGGAAGGTATATACTTACAGGCAATGCAAGGATTGGTACGAAATCAAAACCATGTGACTGCAAATGGAAACGGTTTACAAACGCTGTTAGTAAATCGTTAAATCGTGTTCATGATAATCTCGCTTGTATTTTGAATTATTGGTGATTGTCCACCACTCTTGAGACGTTCAGTCAATTGTAAGGTGCTGAATTGCATAAATATTAAGTGTTATGCAATGACATGAAGGCAAAATTATGCCACAATGCCCAATTATTTCAAGCCATGGCGCCAGAGATATTTTCAGTTCATTTAAACATTTAATATTCTAAATATAAGTTCAAATTTATTTTCAATAGTCTAGTCCATGACACTTTAACCCGATCTATTTTTGTACTTGGGTTTTCCAATACATACTAGACATCATCAATCAAATTGTATTTGTATGTCACTATATCAATGACCAAAACGTAAATGTATCGTCTTTCCCAATGAAACCAAAACTACTAAAATTCAAGTCTTTGAGTCATGCATTTCCAAGAAAAAAAAGTACAAAAACAAATTGTAGTCTATGACATTTCGAATTATTGTACATTGAGCAATATTAAAGTTTGCACGTAAAATTGTAATGTAAAACAAGGCAGTCGCCCTCTACTGAAGTCGTTCAATTGGTGATTGGTACCATATAAATAACCATTTCTACACCTGGCAATTATAGAAAATGTTGTTCACAGAGATACGACGAAGAAGACGTATAATACGCAATAAACGTGACGTATTATATGACCTGGATTTTCTTTTTATACGGCCGAATATAAGTACATTCTAATAATTGCCAAAGAATTACAAACATGGTTTAACATATCATTAACATACAGACATGGCAAACAGACGCACACAACTCGTTTCGAAATAATAAGCGATCCTTTGTAACCAATAGATTTATGCTGACAATAACCAATGCAAAACAACAACAAATAACATAATTTTGTTGATTTTATATGGTGTAATAAATTTTGTTATGTTCATATTCTTTTTTGTTGGCCGAAGCAGACATAAACAATTGAGAAGTGTTACGAATTAAATATTTTACCGTGTCCCGTTCATAGCAAAATGGTTTAGTTAAAAAAAAGGAACGAAACTCGACGACGTTATCGGCGAGACTCGTCAGGATTCGAAACTTTGTAACATCCTTAATTTGTTTGGGGAAAAGATTCTCCCAAGCGATAGCTCAATTGCTATTGAACTCGAACTTGTACGTATCTCAAAATAAGGAAACGTAATGGAGAACATAATTGTAAGCACTTTTTACACAAAATATACTGAGACACTATAAAAAGTTAACGAGAGGAATAACGCAATATATTTGTAAAACTGTTTTTGTTCAGCTATTTATTGCTGGCAAATGCTAATTGATATACTGTTATCAGTGGTTTTAAAACATCATTATACATGAAATAAACCATTTCAGTAATACACGTTTGTGATTTACAACACAAATTTACTCCGGTCTTTCAATCAAAACATAGCTCAAATACATCAACAACACAAACAGCCGACAAAAATAACTGAAAAAATTTACAAAATGGTTCAAAACAAGTGTTGTAACCAGAACTCGACTTTGGTCGTGAATACATAAATTTACAACTAACGCGTAGGCGTAAAATCATGTTATGGCACTGTGAATAATATTTACAAAGGGGTAGAACATATGGAGCAAATAATTATGAACGACCTATTATTGCGCAAATCATATATAAAAAATAAAATACATTATTGTTTAACAGACACCGCTTCACCTGGCTTGCATAACTGGCCATTCTAAATTGGTCGAAAATTTATTGGAATCGAAAGCGGTAAAAGTTGAATGGGGAGATCGTTATGGAAACACCAGTATACACCTTGCCGTAAAGCATGATGATCCGTCCTGCGACATCATGCGGTTAATTTTGAGTCATCTATTCAATGATGATGACGACGTTATAAATGCAAAGAATATAAAAGGTGAGTAACCATTATTAACTATTATTTTGGAAGTGACTATATTATCCTTATGTTAATTTCGAGGGAAACTTGTAATATTAGCTTTGTGTCAATTGCATTCAGTATGACGCGTGATTCGGCGCGATAATTCTTCATAGTCTCAGTAGCTCTTGGCGCTTCAGTGGTTGTCCATATCTTCGTTCAGTGCTTCAGCGACTGCTCATATACCTGCACAAAGCATACAGTCAAATTTTAGAAATTCCGTAAATATTAGGCGGCCGTTTTTACATTTTCATTTGCAGTCGTTATCTTTGATTTTTTGAAATATGAAACGGAATAGTAAGCTACCGCTGGGAACTTTTGAAAATTGCAAGTTTCGTTCTAATGCGACATAATGTTGTAACTCTAGTTGCGATGGGGCTTCAATAAGTTCAGCGTTGGCCCAATTATGAATTAGCAATTCTTGAAAGGGAAATTCCTCTTGTAACTTTTGAATATTACTCAATATTTGCCTCCAAAAATAAATCCTATAGTGTCATTTGCATATACTGTTGATTGAATATTTTATGTTGGGTGTTCGTAATAGCTATCGATCAGTGGAAGCATACACGCCGATTCTAGTGCTTAAAAGACATTCCAATGACTATCAAGACTTTCAGTGAGATTGGTATACTTGTTCGGCCTTTTTTTTTTAAAAATAGTGAGAAACCAGGGAAAGAGCTCAGGCCGACTTCTCAGATATGTGCAGATTGGATCTCAATTGTTGGTTTCCAGACATCCAATACTTGCTATTTCTGACTTGTACTTGTTTGTTGGAAATATTGCTCCTTCAACAGAAAATATTAAAAACCTCTGTTTTATGTGATTGTGGTTTTTAAATGATTTAATATATATATATTTCCTTAATATTGTATGACACCCCGACAATACTTTATTTATTCAAGATACGAATGAAAGAGTGTGGAGAAGAGAGTACTATAATTATTTGTTATTATTGCGTATGTATGGTATTTTGGGGTTATCAGTTCCTGACAAAAATGTAAAAGATTCCAGATTGTAGTGAATAACAGCTTTCTCCTTTAATTTCTAAAAATATACAAACGCATTCAGGTTTGTTTCCAATTACGCTGCAGCGCCCGCAGGTTATCCGTCCTGGGTTTGTCGCATGAAACTATAAAAAGGAAGTTATTTTAAACCGTACATTGTTAAATAACAATGACGTTGTTATATGAAATTCCCTCATTTGATTATAGAAATAGATTATCTGCGACAAATACCGCGGACGTTCACAACCACTCTTTAGAACATTTTTTAAAATTCCGGGAGATTTCAATAAATCCATATGGATGTTTAATGGATTGTATTTATTGTAATATTAACGTCAGTGAATAAGGGACGAATAGCAGCATGTAGCTGTAGTAACAGATTCGTATTAGGATTTTTTATCGCTACACGTAGAGAGGAAGTTTTGACATAAGAGGGAAATCTAAGCTGATAAGAATTCATTGAAGCTCTTAGTTTAATGTAAGTGTTAAAAATCTAATTCTCGAACAATTGTTTTTCAAAATTATAGTAGTTTGCTGCAAAGGCCCCTTTTCAAGAGTTATTATTTTTAAGATATGTTAGTTAAACATTTGATTATATTATTGCAAAGGACAACAAAGGAAGCAAGTGTGCGAGGAAATAGAAGATTGGTATTTGAAATCCAGCAGCAGCTGCTGGTATTAGTAATAATTGGAGAGAATTTGAAATTGATAGAATTACCAATGCCATTTAAATGAAGTAACGTCATGTAGATATCGTCAATTTCAATTGATTTGAGAGAAAGGAGTTGAATTTGTACTATCTGGTCGCGAAAAACGTATCACTCTACTTTATGCGCTAAATAAGTTCTAATAAATTTTCGCTGTAATTAATTAATCCAGCCTTACGTCGTTGTCGCACAACTTCAATATGTTACGCATGATACAGAAAGTTCTGCTTATCTGACACATTTTTTTTACTTTAAAAAGTAATAAAATATCGAAACTATCTCGAATGACGAAAACGATGCCTCAATTCCTTTGATAATTGCGACCTTTAAAGATCCTTTGATTTTTCGGACCATGGTATTAACGGGAACGGAAGATAATTATTATAATACCAGCACAACATGTTGAAGAATAAGCGCTCTAGGCTACTTAAAATACAAGAATTTTGAAAACAAAATTATGAGAATAAAATTGAACAAAAAATCACTTAAAGTTGTTGGGCCAGCTTAGATGGAAAAGAAAACAACTAAACGAAACTTGCAAAGGGCAAAAAATGCTTGGAATGAATGTATTGAGAATTTGCTTTGATATCTTTTGATAAAATCAAAAATAAACAGCAAGTTTAATAATGACCTATTATATAAAAAAAAATTATTTGAAAAAGAAAATCTTTCATCCATCAATTGTAAATCCATTTGGTTAACTTCAATTTGTAAAAATACGGCCGTTATTTTTAGTATCCTAGTTTGAATATGTTCGCCACTGCGAGATGACGCATTTTTACTTTTCATACAAGATCATTCATAATATAAGTGTGTCTGTGTTGATTGTGATTTTTCGAACATGACCTGTGCATGGCTTTTGTTTTTTTGGAAAATTAGCTGTAATATTATCAAACTGTTCAGTCGAGACGACTCAATAATATAATTAATATTTACTAAAAATTTCGTTAGCGTACCATTTGGTTTTAGAAAAAGTATTCGAAAGTGACAACTGCGGGTAGCCTAAGGCATTGGCTTAAGTGCAGCACACCAGCGAAAGTTTATTTTGAAGATTGGCTGTTTGAATCAATTTTAGGTCTTTTTTTTATACCTTTATCTAAACTTAAGGCTAAAGTTAAAGTAGGCCTTCAGGCCCTTTATCTTTAGAACTGATTTCGATAACATTTCCGTAAATTTGTTGGACATGAGGTGTGTTGCGTGTTTAAGGACATCATGATTCGTATGGACTTGTATGCAAATCTAAGTGAGAATTGGATTACTTTTGGCGTTGTATCTACTCCTGAAATAGTCTTCAGTTCCCTTGAGTACCATATTGTGCTAATCTACATGTTGTAGCAAAGTAATGACTTGGGATCACATTAGACGAACGTGGAGGGCGAGATATTGGGCTCTGCCTTAATTAAATGATAGAAGGAAAGGTTTTATTCATCGGCCTTTGCAACTTTTCTGATTGCATGTTGTGGCACCCAAACAATTACGGCGCATCCCCTTGCAGTAGACAGTCAGCCATACGCTGACTTGTCGTCGGTTATGAACAGACCAGAAATCTTATTATAATTTCGTGGACCTGGTGTACTTTGCTTCCAAGCTGATTTAATATTTTCTACTGAAGCATGGGGCCTGAGTGAACTACTCTCCTTAAATCATTTGCAGTGGTTCAGCAGAGATTTTTGGTCAGCTAGACTAGACCGAAATCAGAAGTGAGATATCCAATTTCTCGATCAATTTGACAGTATTACGTAACATTGCAATGACTAGCGAATAATGCAACACTATCTTCCTTACAGATCATTATCCCCTCCCCCCTGTTATTCATATTTTAAACAGAAATTTTTGACAATTATTATAAAATGTTGCTTGACTAAGCAATTTTTGTATCGAAACACAGGATATTCTGCTTTGCACATAGCGTCGTCAATCAACAAGCCGGAAGCAATCAAACTTCTTGTTACACACGGAGCCGAGATCGATCAACCGGTGAGTTACATAACGTAGTTTTTATTTTGCTTCCGTCAAAATAATTGAATAGTTTCCTCATTGCGCCTTGGTCAGTATCATAGTTTTCGTGAGCATGCAGTCACCAGCGTAGCATGATATGTATCAACATGTAGCCTACCGAGGAACGGCGTAGAATGATCTTTTATTTTATTGGCACTTGGATAATGGACAGTAGAATATGATTTAATTAATTTTTTCATGTAATAACAAACGTGGAATAATGTATAGAAAGTTCATTACAAGCAACATATCTTGGTTGGTGCTCAATGAAATACCTGATTGCTGACACACCCGTTATTTACATTCATTATGGGAAATATTTCCCTTATGCGAAATATGGAGCGCTCATGTCAAGTCGGCAATCTATGTTTACTTTTTTGACTAGCAAACACCGATCAGTCGCAATATGTTATCAGCACCATAATTACTCGAATATGGTACACTAAATTTCTGTCTTGGGAGTACAGTTCTGGCGGCAGTTGAAATGCTGCTACAGCTTCCAATGACGTCATGCACCATCCTCTCCATTGCAGCAATAGTCATAACGTAAAGGAATATCTATTAAAAATTCTTATTGTTGATATGAACTCATATACATATTTTGCAAATCACTTCGAGTGTTAAAATTTTTGCCATCAGATTTGTATATCCATTGGGTTTCTACGAGACTAACTATTTTACCTTCTTCCATTCTTTTGTTCTGGTGGATCCGTATGCAAATAATGCAAGGATGCTTTAGCAAGAGTGAAGATAACTAAACGAGGTCAGACTTCCTCAGAAAACATTTATCAAACTAAACGTTACGGAATATATATATGGTAAAGTTCAGCAGGACTATTGAATCACTTTAGATTTGTATATGCTGGTCGGTATCTTTTATTGAGTGCCCCTGCTCAGAGTGTGAGATTTCGCTACACAATTGGACTTTGAAGAAATCAACTATGATGCCAAAAGTGTGCTACTCATAAATATTGACATTTAGGATTGAATAGCCACAACCACAGGGCCATACAACTTATTGTACACAAGAGTGATTGACATACAAAATTCTGATAGCCCGTGAAAGTGAAAATTTAGTTTCGTTTACTTCCGCGATTTTGATCATACAACACTACGCAATTAGATAGGGAAACAATACACTCATCATGGCATGTCTGTTTGTGTCACACCTGAACGACCCTCGCGTACTCAGTAATTAGCATGAATCATTTTCCATACTCGCGATCTGGCAAGACCCAATAATGGAAAGAGTTGGCCGGCTTTTGTTTGACGCGGAAAAAATTCAACTTGTCAACATAGACCATGAAAGCCGCTCATACTTACTAGTATAAGCAACCATTGCTTCGGAATTTCGCAACGGAAAATCCCTTGGTCGATGAGGTTTTCGTGGAGCTGTTTTGCAGATAATAAATTACTCTGATAATTCGAAATTACCTTCGCAAGTTACCTGAAGGGGACTACGTAATAAGGTTTCAGGCGCACTCCCTGGATAAACAACAAATATTTGAGTCATATGTTTTTTATTTTGTAATTTTTCTATCGACCATGTTCAAACAGTATATTAGAATTATATTTGAAGCATGAGCCACACTTGACATCCATATGATTTAGTTTATTTCGATTTATTTGTTTCAAAATTTATTTATACCGAGGTCATGGAAACTCACCTAATGTCGAAACTAATTTCTAACCCAAAGTGCGACGAGATAACAACGAAATGAAAAGAATTTTGTTTTAATTAGATATATTATATTAACGTGAATCACTATGAATTGAATACGCATAACTTAATATTTATTCTCCAAAATCATCACTTTGATGATAAAACAGTTGAAAGCCCCTATGTATGGTATGAATGATTGAAATGTGACGATGATATTGCTGATTATGTTAATACAGCAAAGAGACTTCGTTAATCGACCGTAAACTATAATACAAAATCGGGATTAGAATATGGGCATGCATGTATTCTATCGATTGACCACAAAAAAGGCCTTTCAAAATATACCTTTAGCTCCAGAGTTTTTGTACTGCGTGGCGGGGAATGAGTAAACAGCCAAATCAGAGATTCTAAATGATTAACTTATCATATAAAAAATGACCTTGAATTTCGTATTTTCATGTAGATTTACAAAATTTTCGGAGAGCGTTTGTTTTTTGTTTGGCATAAAAACAAGGTCATTGTCGCCTTGCCCTGTGTGAGTTTCGACAAATGTTGACAATATTAGACCTCGGTATCAGTCATTTATGATTAATTATATTAAAATTTCGATATCAGGATATTGAAAAAACATGTCAACAACTCGCAAGTATTTGGACACGACGTACTGCACTCTCTACCATGCTTCAATTCACGTCCTTTGTTGAGGAAATTATTCACTGAAAAATCCATGTGGTTGTCGCATTTTTTTAAATCGATAAACTTTGGAGTTCATACGTCCGGGAAACTCTTATACACGTAAAATAGATGGTAGATGTGAGGAGAGCTTTGTTGTTCCAACAACAATTAAGAATTAGCAGAACAAGCAATACGTCAATTTTGAATTCAAAATGTACATCTTCTCCAGGTTTTCAAAAATGTCGTTGAGGCTCTTGTCCTAAACTTATTCCATACTTGTCGTACGTGGCAAACGAAATTTTTGAGACCTTCTACTCGACATTTCAATCCGTCCCAGCTCACTCCCAGGTATAACTATCCATTTTTCTAACTTTTCATATAGCCGAATCGGCCGCCCGCACACCACAAATTTTAACTTATTTCAACTGTGCCGACACTTGCCATTTTTCTAACAATAGAAAATCGTTTGTTTGGGGAGATGTTGCTCTTTGTTTCACTTAATGACACGGTAGTTTCCAAACTATAAATGTGATTATTTATACAATTCAAACAAAACTGACACTAATTGGCAAAATTACCCTCTTTATTGGACGTATCCGCGTATATTATTCATAAAATCATTGAAACTGTTTCTACTATGCACGAATGTGTCTCTTAATTCTCTGAAAAATTTGTACCTGATTTTTTTAGTTTTTTATAACGTTTTCTGGGACACAGGTTAATTATCTTCGACGCCAAAACAATATCGGTCAAAACCGCCGAGTGATCATGATTTCTGACGCTTTACTTGGAAATCAAACATCACACACATTGTGACGCTTATGATTGATACGTTTGTATTTAAGTAAGTTAATAGAAAGGTGCACGTTTATATGTAAAATTGACGCGTTTGCTACTGATATAACAGCCGCAAACAATTACAAGCCATTGCAAGGTTTTGTTTCGATACTATCGCGTCATGGTATTTTCACGTATATTATATTAGCAATGTATTAAGAAGAATACTCATATAATATTTCTATTTTCAACGTTAGTTATTTCGTTCAATTTTTTATCTGTAAAGAAATATATAAATTATGTCTGGCTAGACAGTTGACGCTTTGTTGGCTTTTAAATAATAGAATGTATGTATCTTGATGCTTTATAAGATGACATGTTCGGTAATTAATTATACCAGAGCACATGTTCATTAAGGTCCCAATTTATTTTACTTGATATACCTTATCATCATATACGCGATGTCACACACGTTTTGGGTGGTGGAATGCCGCATTTTTATAACACGCTTATACGAAAATGTAGATATTCAAAGGCAAACGTAAATAAATGGCCATTATTTGTCAACAACACCAATAAAAATATTCCGCAAACGAATTATATTGAATGAAGCACAAAATGTACAAAAACTAGTTTAGCATATTTTCACTGCTAGGTTCTCTAGATAGGATAAGAAGATTGCCTTTTAGATTATTGGATGCAGTTTTACCATCAAAATATTTCTGCTACATATGCAAAGCTACTGTTTGTATGATCCTAATTTTTGGACCAGTAGACATCGACTCAATCCGACAGATTATCTGTTAAACCGTTCAAATTGGTTCAAAATCTTCCATTTGGTTCCAATAAAAAGATAAAACGTTTCCAAATGCAATATGGCATTATATTGGATGAAATATGTTTCCGTTTGCCAATATTATTCTGCGTCAGATTTGAGATTTTTTTAAATAACCATTCCAATTCAAATACCATCCTCGACTCGCGTATAACGTTTTCGCGTATAACGATGTCGCTCGCTTACATAGATGGCACATCTGGTCAAACCAAACTAAGTTATATCATTTTGTAGTAGGTAAAGATTACATAGCACAATTTTCCTATATATAAATTGTGGTACATATATAATTTTGACGTAGAATACCCGAAAACTATTTGTGCTGAAGAAGCACACCATGTATTTCGTCTATCATATAACTATTAGTGTTAAAAAGTAACATCTGTTTCCCACATTTTCATGCACAATCAAGTATATGTCAACTGTGACTCTCGCTTAATTAAACGTTAATCCAGTTTATTGCATCTTAACAATCATGAAAGAATTAATAAGATACACAAATAGACGACATACACAGAACTGAGCGTGCTTGTCTTTTGCCTTGTTCAGAGCCAAAATATGGCATATGTCACAAACGTTCGTTGCTTCTTTGATAAAAATACATTGAAAACCTTTTTCGGGGCCGATGAGCTGGTAGTTAATAAATGCATGACACGAGGAAAGGTTTAGTAGAGAGACTTTGACTAAACCATCCTGAAGTCCACATCTTCCAACGGTAATCGCTAGCGCGTCAAATTTATGAAATTCCTGGACGTTATGAGTAACAGAATGCGATTCGACAAGTTACACTTAGTGTAAATTTTCCATTACAACCGTCGGACAGGATTTTGCTCGATATTCGATATCATAATATTATATCACGTGACACTAGAAAATACTTGCAAAACTGCTGTAAGGTTGACAATGAGATTTTTATAATTAATAAAGCACCCAATCAAAATCGAAATTTCATAAAACCTGATTTACTCATCGCCCACTAGTTGCAATGACTTACAGATTTGACCATCAATCATAAGTACAGACAGCACTAGGATGAATTATTTAATCTGTACTGTATGATGTGTCGCAGTCATTTCCTATTAATGACTGTCACATCATCGGTACATAAACTTGCACACAATGCTTTTAGGCAACCGGTTTGGCGGAAGTAAATTTTAGGTTTTGTGTACCGAGCACTCGTATTTAAATATTGCGTAAGGTGACTGCGACGATAATACAGTCACAGCATCATATTTATTCAATGATTTAAACAATAATGGCTCAATTACTTGAAATTTGTTGTACTAGAATCTTTCCATTTTTGTCATCATGTCATTTTCAATATTCACGACCGCGTATATTTCCTTTATAACACGTAAGTTTCGTGCAAGGACAACTATTTTTTGTTCACTTGAAGATCTGCATGAAATTGGTATTTCATGATTAGTTTTTAGTTAAATTAACTGTGCATTTTATAACGTTCGGAACACCAAACACCACGTTTCATTTTGTTTCTCTTTTGTTATTAGGATACAAAAAGCGGGAAAAGCCCTCTGTACATCGCAGTGCAAGAAAAGAACGTTGAAGCGACTCAGGTGTTGTTAGAGGTAATTCGATACGCATTTAGTTTTGATTTCATATATTTTATGCTTAGGGGTGTAAATAGTATGAGTTAAAGATAGCGCTGTCAGACTGTGTTTTGATTGATTCCGATTTGTGGAATATTCCATCGATAGAGTATGTTGCTTCAATGTTGGTGTATGTATTGCTGGGTTTAGAGAAACGATTTTACAGTATTGCGTTTTAGTGCACGAGAAAGAAATTTGCAATTTTCAAATATACATCTTTCCTGCTTATTTTATCATTCATAATTACCGTTACGTTTTTCCAGCTTGGGGCAGATTCAAATAAGTTAACTTATTTTCGTGATTCTCCGTCACAACTTGCATCAAGCTCAGACAGGAGACATTTATTGAGACTTATTTCAAGATACGACTCATCTCATCCTGCCTCACCTCCCGCTTTGGGAAGGCGTAACTCTCGTAGAGTAGGTGACGTTATGATCAAAAGCACTCATGAACAAAATAACTTCATCATCAACGAATCTGAGAGAAAAAGTTCAAATAGTCAGGTATTATTGCAATTTATTCACTCTTTAGTTGTTGGAAAAAAGTAAAATTTTAGTTTTTGTAAAATTAGTTACAACCTTAATATTTAAACCGAAAAAAAATAGCCAAAAAATCTGTTTAATTCTACAGTGAACCACGGCCTCGTCAGGTTCGTCCTTTCCATCTTATGCCTAAAATGCACGGGCGCGGATGACAGCGAATCTATCACATCTTATGTTTAAAATACATGGGCGCGGATGACAGCAAATGACGTAATTAGCAAAAATTTACGTGAACTACCATCAGACTTGGGGAATGACAATTCGCTCGCAAAAGTAGTCATACCTTCGAGGTTCGAATGCAGAGTTCGCCCTCTGACTTTCGGTGTTGCAGTGGCTATCGCTTACCCTAATAAATCCCGCAATTGAACCGGGAATCGCTTCATTATGCGTGCTAACGCTTGTTCAAATTTAAATAAATGAATGTTCCTTGTCCGGGCTTGAAGCTGATCCGTAAGAAATTGATATATACGCAAACTTCTAACTTGAAATGCGGAGATATAATTGAGCGTGTCCCATGTTAATGACGTCGTTGGCGTTTAAAGCTGCATTTTGCACACGGGACTGGGTGCAAAATAGTCATGGTTTGAGATAATTTGCCTTATTTCCGTTGTGCCTGCAGAAAAATGAAATACTCTGAAAGATAGTGATGGGCCTGCTATATCAGCACATTCACAGACGCTATGTTGTGGTGTTTGAATCCGATAAAAATAACAGTCGACACCTACGTTCTTATTGTTAATGCAAACACAAGAAAATGACAGTTTATACAGCAAAGTGTTGCAATGCGAAACCGCCTCTTAAACAATACAAACAGAAACGAAACCAATGACAAACAACAATTCAGGGGCGTGTTTTGGGTATATTTTCAGAATGGCATTTTTGAGTCAGTGTTTTCGTTTGTTGATTTTGCTAATTTTGAGTTAGATCGTAGATTACTTTAACTGTATAAGATGCAATTGGTATGCTACAAAATAAATGAAGCTCTATGCAAAAATCTAATAAAGCAATGCTTTTCAAATATAGTGAAGAACAAGATACATTTGACGAAAATATTAATGCGAGTGAAATATTAGAAAATAATTGGGTGAATTTATAGAGTATACAATTTTCTTACATGTGAAAAACATAAGAACCTAACACATAATATAAGCCATTATGTTCATCAAGATATGAATATCACGATTGTCACACGAAATAATTGAAATTACGCATATTCAAGTACTTACTATACTTGTTATTTGTCTTGTTAGAATTCACTACTTTGGTTAGGCGCAAAAATAATCCGTAGATAATCTGTAACAAAAGTTTGATGCGGCGATTGAGCTATGTGTGGTTTTGTAAAGGCCTGAATTTAAGACATGAAAGTGCATTATCATGGTAATGGTCGGGATATTCCGTTCGCGTGCGACGCAGAACAAACGTGAGGGAAACGAAGAAACGTTAAAGTACGTCGATATGACGCACTGCCAAGTTGGTACGCAAGTACTAAATGTCACGCAAGCCTCTCTTTAAACATTAATATATATTTATATAACTAGGTATAAGATCGTCTATAAATAATATAGCCGATAATAATTTGTTTATGCAAATATTTTTGCTATAATTTCATTACAATTTGACGCGATTGAAAAACTCAATTAAGAAGTAATCACTCATAAAATATGAAAAAGCAAATTTTCCTTAAACACATTGAGCTAAAGGTAATAAAATTACAATATCTTATTGAATATTGAATGACACTAATATTCTATTCACTTTGACCACTGTTTATGAATGAAATGGGAAATTATAAATCCGCTTTGATAGTTTTTAAACAGATTACATTAGAAAATGTTACCGCCATGACCAAATTCTGATTTCATTTGAAATTATATTTGACAAAAATTAATATTCGTATTTTTATTTGTCACGAAGCCATAAAAAATAAAATTGATATTATTTCGCACTGTGCCCCAATTTGACCATTACGAAAAATTGGACAAATAAGTTTATTTTTACAGTATTATTTCCAAATCAAGAAAAAAATTGAGTAAAAGGCGTCAATGATCCGTCTCAAATCAGATTTAATGTGCTTTTGATTAGGAAATTGATTTGTGTTGTGCGTGCCATGTGAAACCGAAAATAACTATGAAACTGCGACTCTGTTGGTATGTCGGGAGTCGATCGGGTCAAGGCGATATAATTTCCTATTACTATATCTTTTTAATTTATTCTTACTTATTCAAATTTTAATTATTGCGACATGAATGGATTTAGTATAGGGCATTTATTATTTAAACAATCCAATCATGAATGTTTTCCCGTTTTTACAAGATCAAGCGTGGGCCATTGATGGAGCTCGCTATTCTATGGATCATACTCAATGAACAGTCATCTAAAACCTTTTTTACGATATGTATCAAACAAATGTTATTGTACCGTATAGTTACATTTTATTGGACGAGACATCTGTTAGGATTGCAAGAACTTTTACAGTCTTTAGTTTGTTGTAACACAGCAGTAGAATTAGTTAGTTCGATGTGAAACGTATTTTCCTGGCGTTTGAAACTGGATTAGAGTCATAAGGTTGGCTAGATACACTACTCACGATATTTTGTTATCATCAACAGTGGCACTGAAATAAAAAGATGTAGAGACACAAAAATATGTTATGTTCTTATTATTTCTCATTCAAAAAGTGTCGCACAACCAGTCATAGATAATGCGAATCGTTATTGAATGATTCTATTTAGAACTCCGTTTGGTAAATGACAGCAGCTTAGATTCAAATCCTATTGTTTTATTGACAATTGACCTATTGAATGCGTAAGGTGAAAAGTCCTAATTGCTTCCATTTGAATACAAATTCAAAAAAATGTAAATTATTAGATTGTTTTGCTATAGAACGTGAATGAATATTTGATTATTGCAGGGGATTTTCTGATTTCCAAATGGTTTAACGGCTTTTGGTAATATAAAAACAACGGAATAATACATTTGAATGAGTGAGTTATTCACTATGGCATCAAAATTCCAATCAGTGGGCAAGGGGGAAGAATACTCAGTACCAAATCGCCGTTTACTTCGTCTACTGCGTGGAGAATTAGTGTGCTGCCATTATGGTTTTCTTTTTCTATACATGTGTCTGCAATATTTATCATTGTGCGCGACTCACTCGAGTTTGTTCATTGCGATAGTTTAATACGGTAATACATTACGCAACTTGATGAGATCACGATAAGGTCACAAAATTTCACACGGATTTTGGTGATTGTGTAAATATGACGAGTTTCCGCCCTTTTTACCGCTGTTTCGTTTGCACGAAAAACCTCGCGAACGAACAGTGTAACTGAGGTCGAGTAATAATAGAATCTATGTTTCAGGAACACTCGTAAACCTTCAACCCCCGGTAAATGTCCATACGGTGTATTATTCAATTTCTGGCAACTCATAAGTCGAAGTTGAAACTGTGAAATTCTACTACGCTTTCATTTAAAAAACAAAAGCTTTGTCGATCGCAAATGATTACATCACCGATGAATGAATTTCACTTATGTTTCCCACCTCATCTATAGTTAACGTTTAACATTTATAGGTCAATTTCATATCACGCCACAATTCTTCGCACTTGAATAGCATGATTTCTCAGCATATAAATGGAACTTTCGCGTCGATGACGGAAGACTACATAATTGCGGTAACATGCTATCATTATATTGATAAGGTTTTGAACACCGAGAAGTTAGTTTCGGTTTACTAAGCATTTACAGGTTTTTCGTGCGCAACGCATTACTGGGTGTATAGAAAGATAAATGTTTTGAGAACTGAACGATTTCGTCATTTCTGAGTTAATCACGATTCTTATAATAAATTAGTTAAATAGAGTTTTGCTTCGAAAATGAACTAAAAACGTAACGCCAATCCTAATTGGATACCTGTGCGACGGTTGCTTACCGAGAAAATGGAGGATATCATGTATGGCCCACATTTAAAAAATAAACGAATTATGGAAATCGAAACCAATAAAAGGTAATTACAAGGAAACAGGAGTAAATTTACTCCTTTTATGAGAAACTTGTGTGACATAAAATCTGTAATTGATGCTTCAAATATATAATTCAAATGAATTGAAACTCCCATAACATTCTTCACCGTGTTTCATTACAGACATTCACAGAACCGAAACTGCGTTCTCAGTGCGATTGTAACATAATTTTGGTACATAATGGACACGCTATATATACATTCTCCACAGTGAAATGTCAGCCAAAGTTCTGAAATACCCTGTCTGTGGTTATATAGCTATTTGGCAATACTATGAATTCTATTTATTCTCTAGTTAAATTTTTAAATTAAATTTTGTCTCTGATATTAGTTTTGGTCCATGCGGATAAATCAGTATATCAGGCATCCACTTCTTTCTCTGCTTTTACCAATTTTACGATATTTTACTGACGTTTCAACGATTTCGTCAGTGAATTATAGTCAGAACATTTTTTATATGCTATATTCATTGACGGGAAACGATTTTTAATTTGTGTTATGGATAGGGTGGTTTTTGAAGGAAATAAGCGTGAAAGCAATGTAAATGTAAGATTCCAAACCGGATCAAATACATTTGCTACCATGTATTGTTGTCATGTTAAGAAAGTCAATTTATTACCCAACATCATATTATTACCTACCACCTATTTTCTCTTGTCTTTTGTCATATATATTTTATGGAACATTTGGCGGACGTATTTAATTGTGTCATAAAATATCGCCCCTGAAATAAACATCCATTTGATCATTTTCCAAAGTTTCTGCCTCTATGAATAATATAAATTTGTCATTTTGTTCAAGTACGTGACAGAAGTACGTCACACAGACTCAGATAGTAACTGAAAAATTCTGATATATTTGCATTCATTAATTTGGCCTTTTGTTTAGTAATTCAAACTGTTTATGTTTTGATATTTACGGAAGCATTGTATGAAAATATCTCTCTGTATAAATGACTGACACGCGGTTTGTGGGAATTTTTATACCGTTGGTGTTCCGGATTGAATCTTGATTTTCAAAAGATACGAGTCAAAATTGCTCTCGCGATATAAGTACGGAATCCTCGCCGGTGGATTTTTTCTCTGGAAGTAGTATTAGAACATGATATTGATGTTGTGTTTATCATATTATATGACTATTTCATGTCGTGTAACCAAATTTCTCACTTTTGAAAAGTCCGATCACTTACGTATATCACTCGGTAATATTCTTATCTGACGTTCACCGTTTACATATAGATTCTCTTGTCAAACAAGTAAGAATGAGTCACAGAGCTGCATTTATGTAATGCAAACGTGATTATTGGGAAATTTCTAGTTAACTATACTTTCATTCGGACTCGGATAAAGATTTCATCCTGTCGCCTAATTGTAGAAATTTATATTTCAGCTGTTTCAAGACCAATCTCAAATGTCATCGGTCACAAACGAGTCAAAATCTGAATCTCCACGCCGCAATGTCATAGTCAAAAATTCCCTAAACAGCGAGTGCGCAACAGCATCTCTTTCACAAAATATCAGAAGCATAAACACGGAAAATCCAAAAACAATAAAACGAGAACCGGGCTGTACTTCCCCTTCGTCATACCCTATTTCTATCGAACCGGTCTTGTCGACAGAAACAGAGACTAGCAAGTTCAATAGCAAGGCGTTAAGGTCCATAGAGCAAATGCAGTCGCAACTGGATAGGCTCCACCGAGCTCGAGAACAACATGCCCGACTTGTTGCCGGTGACCCGTTGGCTCGTATACCTGCCTCAATTGCTGCGTCGTTACTCAGACAGCGACCACAAGAGCCATTCGTATCCCTATATCCACCTGGGGCTTTGGTAAGATCAAATGAAGGTGACAAGTTTAAATGTGCGGAAACGACTGAAAGGGACAATGGAGGCGAGATCAGTCAAAAGACAAAAGAAAAGACTCCGAAAAAGAAAAGCGTGACGTCGTCCAGAGGCATGCGGTCACTAAAGACGTCTTTTCTAACTTCAATAACGCCAGCCACAAACTCAGTTTCGAAACGTAAGACAGGCGCGTCAAAATCAGTCAGTGAACCTCTGGATCTCAGCCATCCCGATCGTGAAGTCACAACAACAACAGTATTGCATTTGGTGAGTCAGCACCCGCATTCCTAGCGTTTTTTCTTGTTCGCTCTCGTTTAAAGAAAAAATATCACAAATCACCGTAGGGTAATATTACAAGCAACAAATTAATGAGCGCGTTATTGTGATATTGAAGGCGAGAGCGAAACGAGCGTTATTGTGGAAGAGAAATCGGTTTCATTCACGGTACCAGACGTTTATTTATAGTGGCCTATGTACTACACACGCACGCAATCGCTGGTGGTTTGAATATCATAGCAAAGAGAGAAAATGATCGATACCTCGATATCTTTTTTCATCGTTGCTTCATACGTTCATTACGCGAGATAGGCCTTGGTAGCACACACAGTACGGGAATAGTATGCGAAGAGATAGTCGCAGATTATATGGTACAAAATCGCATTCATTCGACTAGAAATTACTTTGGTGTAGGGTTACTGAAGGTTTCAAAATGTTGATGCAAACTATTTGTTGTAATATGGTGAGGATAGGCTGCTTCCATCATAACAATTCAGGTAACGGCGATGTCAGCAAACTTATCCGTGAAATCAAGTTCGATTGTTTACCAAGTTGTGCGGCAGCATACTTCACGAGACAAGTGCTTTTACTGCTAAAATTTTGTTCCAAGATGGCGTAATTTTGAAATATGTGAATGCTGATATTTCGTTATATTGAAGTGCAAAATACCACTGTCATGCTGTGTAACTTTGCCTTTTTATACTAATACTGACTAATAATCTGTCAGTTTCGTCACTCATATGTGTGTATACTGGTTCGCAACACGGTATATATATTGTTGGTGATTCTGTTTAATTATCAATCTCCGTCGTTGATCTTGGAAGAAAAGGTTTCAATTTCATTTCATTTTGCTTATTTTTGAGTTTAATTTTATATTTCTCAGGACGATAATAATACAAACATGCTTTTGGAGGATAAAATGAACACTGAAGTGGACAATGACAAAGCTAAGACCAAGGAGTATGTAGCTGAACAAGCGGATTTACACAGCAAAATTAAAAAAGAAGTTGTATCGGACGATCCTGACAGCGTAACACAGGGAAACACCAGCCCGCCAACCATGCATTATCCGACACTGATTACGCAAGCTGAATACCCCACTTTTCCAAAGTATACTAGTCAGAACTTGAGAGAATCATTTGTACCTTTTGTGAATCCGTGGCTTAATTTCCAGGGAGCAATTATTAACCCAAACGCGTTTCTGACTCAAGCAGCATACGGTTATATACCAACAGCGTTAGGAAACAGTGCAGCAGCACAGTTACAGCCAACGCTTCCGCCATTTGACCCTAACGGAATTTCTCAAAGAAACCACTTTGCAGCTGGGATATCACAGTGGGTAAATTTATCACTCGATGTTGCTCGTGCAGCAGAAAGGTTACGGCAACCTCGAATTGACGAAGAATCTGCCGATAGCATGAATTCCCGAAAGCGAAAAGCAACAGACGACATAGAAAATCATGGATCACCAGCGAAAGAAAGTGAATCGGATAATTTATCGTTTTCACGCCAGTCGGCGGAGAATGGCAAGAGATTTCGTTCACATAATTCCACTGCAGTACACTCGGAAGGACTACACAGGTCTGCCAGTGATGACCCAGGAAATTCAAGAGAGAAAGACGAACAATTGTCTTCAAACAGAACGCTGAAACGACGAAACAGTGCACCGTCGACTGGAGTAGCCCCGCAAGTTTTGGAGGTGAGTGCGTCTCTTAAATTTTGACAGCTAAATTGGAATTATTCTCTTTTAAAACGTGGATTATGCCTAAGTATTAGCAAAATTTATATAAATGAATTTTTAAACTTCTTTCTATTCGCGAAAATCCATTCCATACTCTATTAAAATATTTCTCCATTAAAATATTCTGAAAGAAATGTAGTGGTTAGGTGTTCTAATAGCGTTTGGTTTTTGAAACGAATGACGTACGTAGTGCAAGTCAATCAGCGTTAATACCCGATACAAACATTAAAAAGTGTTTCATTGACATTTCGAGAAATTGCGTGACTAGGCATGCATAATGTTGTCGACGCATCATAAACGTGATTTCGAGTCGTGTTGGAATATGAATCCTGGCTGGACTGTCCTTAACTATTTTTGTCGTCAATTTATATTTCATAGATCTGAGACTATTATTGATTTTAAAGGGTTAATACGGCTAAAGTTCATTGAAGGACTGAAAGAAGTTTGTGCCACCAATTATCATGCTGTATCTATTACAAGAAATGTAATAAGTTGTATATGACCTGATGCTAGCTGTGCCCAAAATATATACTTACCGTGTCCGTTCGGATCACGAGATATTAGGAAGAGTTTCTATGGTGTGAAAGAATTAGAATAATTCTACTATTAGATGCGTGGAAGCTTGATTATTGCAGTAGGTATTAAAAAGTCTGGTTCGCGACCTGACTATCTGTGCCATACCAACTATATATACTAGATTCTCATATCTGTCTGTAGTGTGTAGCTACTATTTATAAACAAAATTTACATTTTAGAAAGAAGATGACAGAAGAGTTGCTCCCGTCGATTTGCATTCCTACGCTGGATGCCTGCCTCCGCACTGCTTACACCTATTACAATCATCCGGAAATTTGGCATTGTCTTACAGGGAGCATGCTTTGAAAGAAGTGGAGGAAGTTTATCAAACAAGAAATCACGGTGTACCAATCACGGCTAATGGAAATACGTCTCCTCAAAGTGAGTTGAGAATTCAACATCACACCAACAATGCAAGCAATGGCGATACTAAAACCATCGAATTGACACGTATTCGCGAATCTGATTTTCACATGGCCGGGAGAAGGCCCAGTTCCACGCTTTACAGGGAACTGTGGAGACCGAGCGGCAGAGACGAAGGCTCCGATTCCGCAAAAAACAAAACAATCCCGTTGCATCCAAAAGCAACTTACTTGCATGGCAGTCACAAACCAGAATCTTGGAGTTCTTACAGAAGAAAATTGCAAAATTCTTCTGTGCTATCCTATAATGAGAGAAGGCGAAGTGGCGATAAAGCAAGAAGGGCGTCTGAGACAGAAAGCGACGATGAGGATTATATTCAAACGCTACAAATTAGCGATGCATCTTCTGACGATGAAGAATATAGCGAGACGATAGCTAATCCCTGTAGTGACGCAAGGTCGCAAGGATCAATCAATTTCGGGAGAGGTGCTTGGAGTGACCTCGATCTAGGGAACCTTCCCGCTTTTGGGGGAAACGTCGCAGTTCCAATATTAAACACTGTACCTCGACAACATTCCACATCAATGTATGCAACTATTCCAACTAAAATGGCATGTAGCGTTATCAAAAACGTCCCCAAAACACTAAATGGTTTACCTCGAACTTATACCTCTGCAAAACTAGGAAATTCTACAAAAAAGTCTGTTGATCATAAGGCATACGCCTATGAATTTTCACCTCATGACGTCATTAGAGAACCGAGAAAGGAACTTCAATTAAACGACTTACCTCTCACTCAACGATCAACTACACGAGAAATGAAAAGTCACAAATGCCGAGGGTGCTCCCACAAGAGAGCGTCACAAGACGAAAGCAGGCTAAAATTAATAAGCAATATCTTGCAACAGTCTTACAGCAAAACGACATACGGAGGGTAAGCATTATATTTTGTACTTATTTAGTGGTTTACATTAAGTATGTACGCGATTCACTCCTTGCTGTGACGGTAGACATAAAGAGAGAGATATCCCCATTCATCAGGAATAATATTAATAATAATTTGAACTTGTTTTTGGCCGTTGCCAAAGAATGCGCTGTGGATATATCTACTCGCCATCACAGGTTTTTAGTTGAAGAATATTGCTTGCGTTGGCGGGTTACTACGCGGATACGCCAGCGCGATCCTCTGCTATTCACTGGTTTCTGTATTTGTTTATTTTCTATCATTCTGTTATTAGTTGATATCGTACGATGTTTATTATTTTTGGTTTTTATGGTTTCATTATCCGAGATTATGCAAGATTTTACTTTACTAAAAAAAATTAGGAAAATATTTGGTAATCGTTTTCCATTTTTGATATTAGTTTGCCATAAAGTTACCTCTCTTTTGACATCTCAATGTACAACATATTGATATGATATGCTTTATAAATGCTTCTTAAATAAGTACTGTATAGGTTTGTTCCAACTGTTACAGATTGAGATATATTGATATATACCCTCGCTGACTCATATTGTTGCGAAACCTATGACTAACTCTATCAAAACTTAACGCTTACCAAGCTAAATGGGCTTAGTCAACGGCTAGTTTTACTTGTTCTCATATTGAATATGGAAATTTCTCTGTCAGTGATTTGAAAACTACGAAGCATATTTTTACAAAACATAGCGGGCGCGCCTGATATGGGTATAGTGAATACTCTTTCTTAACACGGATACCAAGTTAAGTTTCCGATGTTTAGATCTAAATATATCGTTTTTCCTTTGTTCGCCCGAGTAATACACACCCAACTTTTCGATTTTCAATATAATTTTGAATGTAGCCAATTACTTTACCATGAAATAGATCAAAGATTTCTTTATTCCTTTGGTTATATAGCGTTCTATATCTGATATTTGTGTCGTAAAAAACCCTTGGAGTCATCTTCCGTTTTCTTATTGTGAATCAGGTCCTTCCGGGAAATTTCCTTATTGAAATATTTTCGCTTACGTTTTTTGTTTAATTTTAACTTCTATTTAATATGAGATTATTAAAGTGAACAAAAACGAGCGATGACAACAAGCACAAATGCGTGCAAGCGTGACGTTAAGATCTTTTTGTTGTTATTTTTGTTTTGACCGCTCGGTTCCGCTTTCGTCATATTGTGCTTGTGTGGTCACGAGCATTTTCATTCACAATTTTCGATCAGTATGGTCATTCACGATTATGGTTATGCTTTTACCAAAAGAGGTCTTTGCTATAAAATGAAAAAAATATTCAAATTAACAAAATATCACGAAGTAAATGAAAAGCGAACTTTCATTATCGCGGCGTTTATAGCGTAAGATGTAAAATAATGCCATTTCCTCGTAATATTCCTTTTTTACATTAGTATAGGCATTCTAAACGTGAATAACACTGTCACAGATGACGTGATCAAATTTTTTGCGTCATTTTTTACATCACCAAAAAAACAGGAATTGGAATTCACGCACATCTGAAGCCCAGACTCATTTAATAAATAATAAATATTCTTGTCTGTGAACTTTTCACTTTATTCGTAAGGTTACTGTATACGTTTGAATATATTTTTATCTGTTTGATTGATGCCGCAAATTCTAGAATGTAGTCGGAATTTGAATACAAATGATACTTGATAAATCAATCGATCCGTTTTACGTCCATTGTCAAAAATATTTGTACATATTACATGAATTTTTGTGTATTTAATATTACTTCGAACTCTCATACATATATTTTACATTGTACATCACATTGTATGTAATTATGAATTTGATAATAAACATTTAGTAAGTAATAGTGATATATGGTCCCAATTGCCATTCGATTGCCTTATCCCTGCAAGGAAAACCGAGTTTCATTTAAGTGGCAGCTACGCAGGAATTTAATAATTACTAATTAAATTATATTCTATTAACAAACCTTCAACTTACACCACACCTCAAGTGTTCGCCCTAGGAAGTTTATATATGAATACTAGTAGTATTCTGACCATCTTTTAAAATTAATTTCGTTTTCGAATATATTCTGAAAAAATCTATTGTACAGAATAATCTGTGAATGAGTCAAATCACGATTTCATTATGACAAGTGAAATATTTTACAACAACAACACCAATTTCGATTACTGAATATGTTTCATTTTTAGTTTCGAATTTAGCTAAAATCAAATATTTTGGCTATCAAAACCTATTCATCATACAATTTTGCTCAAATTCCAGTTTATTCAACATTATATAGTAGCAAGAACCATCTGCCCTCAGAACGAAATTTTCATACTGCAGTTGCGTTACTTCGAAATTTTCGCAATGACAACACTTTCATGCGCACGCGGATATTTCGGTTCCGCGAACGAGTTTCATCGAAACCCTTTTTCTTCACGACATTGTTACTGAAAATACAATACAACTATACAGCACATTGATCTATTCTATTTCTCATAGGTTTCAGAGTACAACTCCACATTGTGCGCCGAGGTTGGTGTTTACTTCAGAGATAAAGCTTCCAAGCGAGGTGCAGCATCGAAAGGTATTCTCAAACTCAGAAGAGAAACCAGCTAAATCGTCAGGACTGACTGCTAGTGCCGCCATTGAAGAGAGGTCACTCCAAAGAACGACAACGACCAGTAGAAATTCAGATTCGGAATACTCGCACAAGTTATTCAAATTTGCTAGAGCGGTGAAAGAAAATAAGAATCGAGAGCCAAAAAGTGTCGGAGAGAAGGATAGCATAAAATCAAGTTCAGCGACTGAAAACAGAGCATCGATTTTATCTGGTTCTAGTGTATTAGCGGCTAGAACAGGACGTAGCACCTCATCGTCTTCCACGAGACTTAATTCTTTGGACGCCAAATTGGAAGAGCTTCGACAAAAAGCTACTGAAAGAGAAGAGATGAATAAACTAGACAGACAAGAAAGAGAGGCCGCGCATTCTGAAGCAAAACCAGTAAACATTAAAACTGAAACTACGTACTCGCATTCTAGCACAGACGTAACATCGCCTTCATGTTCACAAACGAACGTGATATTTGACGCAAAACGTAAATTGAGTCAAAGTCCGTTTCAAGAATCGGAAAGTGGGCGTTTTAGTGGCAAAAAGAATGTGGCTGTGATCAAGCCAAATCAATCGATTGTCTCGCAAACTAGTCGTGATAATATTCCTTTCAACGTTGGTCCACCGAAAAAGAGACATATGAAGAGATATTCACCGGAGTTTTATAAACAAAGACGAGAAGTTATTTTGCAAGATAGAGAAGTGCGAAGTGCATCCCCCCTGCCACAAGAACCATTTGTTTCAACCAATGTTCTTATCGACAATGAAGATCGTTCTTTGAACGTTAGATGGTGCTCTCCCGATCGAAGTCCAACTCGAAGAAAGCATGCACAAAATGCAAGGACTATCCTAACATATACTGTACCGTTGGGACCTCTCAAGCAATCCCGTGGATCAAACAGTCACACTGTGCGACTGGAGGTTGGTAACTACGATTATTATTAATATGTAAACTCATTTTTTCGAAATCTAGTTCGCTTTATTTTTCCATATGAAGTTATACAGGTTGTTCCATAATATCAACATACATATTGAAAAATTTCACTATGTCATAAATGTGTATATTAGGAAGATACTTCATGGACATCCTATAGATTTCCTTTATTATGTCCATGTCCTTAGGTAAAAATCTCTGTATTTTTTGTTTGATACAGAAATAGATAAAACAATATGACTATAGATATACATTGATTTGTTCAGTTTCCTTTGGACGTAGAGCAACAGTTTTATAAAACTTAAAATGATTAGAAATAACGTTTTCCTTTCTGGTAGAAATTGGTATTTACACACGGGATGTGGTTATGTGTAACCACCCAATAATTTCGTAATTCATTAAAAAGGTTTCATATGAAAATTTCTATGTCATTACAAAACAGAAATAGATAAATTTGTATTTTCGGTTACAGCAGTGTTGTTGTCAATGGATACATTATTGTTAAAACCAACTAATTTAAAATAAATTGAAATTTTGACAGCAAAATTATCGAAAACATCCACGTTATGCTTCGGCACCTCGCTCGGATACGGTTATTGTGGTCGAATCCAGAGTGCAAGAAACCCTCAGAGATGAAATAGACGAAAGACTGGAGATTGGAGACCTGGAAATCAGCGATGATGAAAGTTAAAAATAGACTTGTCATCAATATAAAACTGTTCTTAGGTTTTTGGCAATTATCAATAATAAAAATTCAATTGACTGTCTCATGAGTTATGAGTGACTTTGTAGAATAGGTTCTTTTGAACATAGATCGATGTGAAGCAAGTTTAGTACAACCTATCTATAGACGATACATGGCGATAATCTTTCTGAAAGTACTAAGTAGACAATTTGAAAAATCGTCATAAAGTGAATATGGCTTGTTTTTTATCGACTGATCTGAGTGGATGAGAGCCTGACTTAATATGCTCTTGGCGTTTGCAAATATTGCTCCACATTAACCTTTGACTTTTTGTTTTGTTCAATCATTTAGGTTGAGCCATGCTTTCTGGCCAGATTGTTGTTTGTTCATGAATCGTAATTTATCTTGTTTTTGCAATGAATGTAGTTATTTTCTTTAGTTTTAAATAATTGTGAATTAAGTATAATTTTGAGTCTAGTATTAATAATCCCGGGCAAGTTTTATTGCCTTGAAGGTGCTTTTAACGAAAAATCCGAAATTTGATGATATGAAATATTTTAATTTGTTTGAAGCGATTATTGGTTATAAAACCAAAATTGTATGACCATTGCTAGGCTGTAAATTGTGTTATTCGAAATTTTGCGATTGTTCATTAGGTGATTAACGTACTGTTCCCTTATATCTGGTGATTAGTTTCTGACAATAGATCGTAAAATTTATATTGATATCATATTCTATTATAATAATTATAATATTTTCCCTCTATTCATTTTTTCTCATTTTAATTTATTGTTTATTTACATTTTTATATTTTAACCCACATATGCATACATACTAAATAAAAATGACCGGAATTAAAAGTAGGTGTTTTTGTTCACGTCTGTGTTTGCTGGTATTTTGAGGTAGGAAAAAAATTAACCTAATTATCGTATTGGAAGATTATGTTCCGGGAAATTGTTCTCGATGGCAGTAACTTGACAAGTTCCATGTCAACCAATGGCTATTCTAATTTGTGCCTCCCAAGTTTTTATGAATTCTTTTTTGACCCTTGGAAAGCCATGACGTTCAACTTCAAACCATCTGACGTCAATGTCGGTTCCCGGCTTCAACTTTAAGAATTCTTTGCCTCCGAGTGGAGCTTTCATGCCGACTTCAGCATACCGTCCTTATTCTAGTAACTAATGTCGTCAATTATATTTACAATACAAAATTCGCGAAGTGACATATATCATGATATCAGCTACTATATTTCGAAGGTTATGTGATGTTTACTTATTCTGGGCAATCGACTACCAAAGTCCCCTAACAGTTCGCTTGAAAGTAATATTAAAATTTATGAACATGTTGCAAAGCGAATAATAGCATAAAAGCCTGTTAAGTAAAAATGATACTGCCTCATCTAACGGAAACTCGTGACCCAATTAAGATAGATATATAATTTATTTATTTATGTTTATGTCCGAATATCATTAAAATACACATGGAAGTAGGAAAAAAATTGCTCATAAAATATAATCGGAAGGGGAGAGCAAGACTGCAGGGTCAAAAGGTCGACCAGCAGCTAAAATGAAATTGAAAGCACAAACTAAATGTATGTAGTCAATTATAAACAAATAGTTCATCATCATAAACAAAGTAAAATATATTCTCAATACAACTGTGAAATTATTCATTACATTATTTCATAGTAGAACAATTGCGTGAGACAAATATCATTTTGAAAGGTCGAGTCGAGTACGTGGTGCCGAGATTCCCGTCATCAAGTTTTGGCAATTCGGACGCAGGATCCGCTTTTATGACAAACGACCTAATAATCGATACGACGAAGAGGAACAATTCCATTCTAGCTACTTGTTCTCCAAGGCAGTTCCTCGGGCCTATAGAGAATGGCATAACATGCTTTGAAGCGATGAACTTCCCTTCTGGACTTATGAATCTTTCTGGTTTAAATTCATGTGGCTGAACAAATACGTCCGGATTATTGTGAACGCACCAATAATTGGTGATAACTTGAGAATCTTTTGGGATAACGTAGCCATTGATTTCAACATCACATGTCGTCCTGCGGGGCACAGATAGTGGCGCAACACTGCAACATCGCAAAATTTCGTGCAAGTAGGCCATTGTAAAGGGCATAGAGCCTCGATCGGACATCGATGGAAATCCATCTTCACCGACGACCTCGCATATTTCAGAGTATATTTTATCCTGATAATTCGGATAGTGTAAGAAAGCAAGTAAACACCACATAAGAGTATTTGATGTGGTGTCTGTACCGGCTCCAAATAAATCTCGAATGTAAAAACGGAGCTGTTTTTCGGTAAAATATGGAGAACCGTGTTTCCGGATTTTTTGTACTAGAAAAGCATCGATGAAATCCCTGGGTTCTTCTATATTCAAATCTCTCTGATGCATCTTGAATTCCTCGCGATAGCAATCGAAGACAGATTCGAGCGTTTCATGGGCATCTTTCATCACACTCCGAAATGGAGGAAGGTATTTTAGAAAGGGAATCACCAATGCTATATTTAATAGTATTGCCTTCTTGGGATTTGACACCCCGTCATACTTAAAAAAGTCCTTGAATGTCTTACTATCCCAATCAAATCGACGACCAAATATTAAGTTACATACAATGTTGCCTGACGCATCTCTGATGTAATTGGAACAGTCAAAGGCTTGACCTTCATGTTTTTGAAGGGCATGTATGAGAAAATTGCATTCTTCTTCGATGATGTCTTCAAAATTTTTCTTCCCGACACCCACCTCTCTGAAAGTGACAAAACCAAATTTTCTTTGAGTTTTCCACAATTCTCCGTTTGAAAATATTAGACCATGACCTTCTCCAGCTAGTTCAGACTTACTCATACTCCAGGGTCTTCCAATAAATTTTTGACCTTGCTTGACCAGGGCGTCAGTAATGACATCAAAATTACTCAAGACCACCCAGTCACTGCGGCCAACTCTAACTGACATAACAGGTCCATACATTTTGCTCCATTCACAGAACTTTTTATCGGGCCTCATTGTCATTAGAGGGATTGCTCCAAATATGGGAATCCCTCTTGGACCAGGTGGGGCTCTTTTTGGTCTTCGGTACCACCAAAACAATACCAAGAACACCGTACAGTATATTATAACAAAACTCAAATCCATGTTAATTATAAAAACTGCAACCTGCAAAAACTGACCATGCTACAAATTTCTAGACTATAACTTCTGTTCTGTCTAGTGTGCGTTTGAAGACTTGCTTGGCTAAATAGCAAAATAGCGATAACTCACATTCATACCAATATGAGCAGAGTAAACATGTAAAACAAACAGGTCCGTGAAATTCGGCAGGTGAAAGTAAATAGCAAAAGGCACGGAGTTATAGGCACCAGTAGTGTGGTACGAATGTTCAATTTGCAGTAAAATCCCACACTGAAAATAAATGTACTTCCATTGTGTGCGAGAGGATTGCTGGACTCCTCGCCGATGCAGCGTGGTTCACGACCACGTAACCCCTGGTCGGTTACGCATCACCGTTCATCAGGTCCATGCTTCTGAAACAAATAACTGGCTAACCGACCCTGTTCCCGAGATGGGATGCTGGTAACCGGACGAGGACGAAGTTCGCCATATGATTAGGCGTATTATCGGCTTAACTTTCACACGGGATAAATATGATATTCTTATCCTATCCCATTGACACGTAGGAAAACGTATTTTATGTATATATATACTTGGAACTGTCTCAATGTAACAATGCATTTATTTCTTCACCTTTTGATGAAATACCATAGAGTCTAATATGTGTGCTGAGAATTATTCAATCGTATTTGATATCAACCCCGATAGTTAATTACAGAGCCCAGCTTCACATAGCCTTAATAAACATATTATATGATATACTTATACTTTATGAATTTGGTTTACAACTAAAATCTGAAATATTGAAACAATGAGTCTGAGAATTTTAATTCATGTTCTGGGACAAATAGTTGAGATAAGACCATGTAGTGGAATTCATGATTAAGGATAAATATTACTTTGACCAGAAAATTACATTCAGCGTATAAAGTGAGATTCATGCAATTGAGGTTATTGGGAAGGCATGGGAAAAGTAGGGCAAGTGTAGAACAAGACATTTTTAAGACACCCTAATGTAAACTAAATTGTTGCATATAGGGTGTGGCATGGGTCTAACGTTAGGTTTCTAGACGGACAAATCTGTTTGCCCAGGTTTCTATCGATTCTACTGAAGTTGTGCCTTGATACCGGCGAAAGACTTGTGTCGTACCCGTTTTTAAATGACTTGTTAGGTTTCTCTTCAACCCTGGAATGCAATAAGCATAGTCTAACTAAAATACACTATATTTGACCAAACAAGCTTACCATACTTCATACTTACCATACTTATTCAGAAACATTTAAGAACAGTAACGCAATCAGAGACTACCATAGACCGCGTCCATCGACTGCACGCAACTAGTGGCGCGCGAAATACCATATTTCTGCTTCTGAGACTACAATTTATGGGAATATTGTTTGCAAAAATGAGCAGAGACAATATTGGGTCTCTAATTCAAACCTACATAATCCTAATTTGGAAACTTTTGTGGTAATGGTGATAGCGCCATTTTCAAATTTAGCAAAATCTGGCGTAAAGCAAAGAGAAATATTGAGACAAAAGAATATAAAAATAATACTCCATGGTGCATTTCAATGTTTAAGTAGTGGAACTTGAAAGCGATTAGCACAGTAATTCGAATAAAAAGCGATTTTTGTCTCAAGAACAAGAATAATAGCAGCAACATGACCAACAGCAATTAAGTAAAAAGAGCCACAGGTCCACATTAGGTTCAGTAACATAGAACACTATAGATATTCCTTAAATTATTTACAGTCTAACTGAAAATCCAGTTGCATTATAGGGTATTACTTGGAAGAGAGATAACTCATCTGGCAAATAAAGACCACACAACCTTTTCTTGACTGTTCTATCAAACTCTATTAATCAAACTAAAATTATTTAGGAAGCTCATTGCGATAAAAAAAAGGCTGCACAATGGAAATGTAGATTTTAAACTGATATATTTATATATATAATGAATCTGAGTCAGAACAAAAAACATAGGCTCAAGTTAAGTCGTTACCATGTGAGGGAACTCATCCCACATTGTGTCGTGGTGATACAACCCCCCATATATATATCTCGGACACTTATATGCAAAGTATGAATACCAAATGATTTATTTACAGAACTTATTGGCAAATTATGAATTAAAAAATAAATTGGATCTAAGTAAGTAATAAGATCCCTTATATAAATAAATAAATGTATCCATAAACTAAATTTGCATAAAATATTTTAAAGGAGCGCCAAGTTATCACCAATAATTAATAAATGCAAATTATGTCATAATCTCAAACGTAGAGTAAAAGCATATGAATGCCGACTGTTGAACATTGATTACAATACTATCAAATAGTGAGGCAATGCAGCAACGGTTGACTTTGCACGTAAAAAAGTTAACTTATCTAAAAGGCACAGTAAAATATAAAATATTCATTTTATATAAATATTTAATCAAACCAACTTATTTGTTATAGCAACAATATTTATATAAAATTGCACCCAGAAAATATTAATATCTTAGGCTTAGAAATTCTCACCAATAAATGAATCAATGAAAGATAGTACTTATTCAGACCTCTTCATTTGTTCTCTTTTACCATGCTATATACAAATATAAGTATATTTCGATTGGGTTAAACTTTGATAAAATTTGGGGCACACTATTTTCAAGCGACAGGTCGCAGTTCTATCCATTTAAAATTCTTCTCGCGGGAAATAATTTATAAAAATTCATATTTGTGACTTGAATTATAACTTTACAAGTGTAAGTTTCAACTGGTTTTATTTCACACTTTACACATTTTTATTTAAATTTTCACACACGCATGTTGCATTCATATTGTTGTCTCCATATGTTCTACTACCACAATAATTACATTTGGAAACTGAACCATCATAACTTTCATTGTCAAATATATCTTCTTCCTTTTCTTCTTGTAAAACATCAAAATTTCCGTTTATTAGACGAGCTTGTTTTCTCTTGAGTCTAGCGGAGTTTGCCACCTCCGGGGGCTCGGGTATGGTATCATGGAACTTTGAGAAATCGACAACGTAGCGATCTCTTTTGGTTGAAAGAGACACAATAGGAGCAAATCTGTAAATGATAAATATCGATACAGTCACAGTTGTAAACCCTAAATATATTTCCGTCATCTTGAATTCAAAGATCAAGAGAAAGTTTCATTTCCCAAAATTAAATAAAAATATTTAGTTTATTGGAGAGTAAAAAGCTGAAATGAGGTAATACCAGTATGTTTCAAGTTATAAATTGATATGAACATAAATTTGCTAAAAGTCATCTTAAAATTTATTGCATACATAAATCTATTTTCAAATATTACTACTATAATAATCGAAAAAACATATAGAAAAATTCCTAACACTTTAGATAGTATATGAAAAGCGTTTATAAAATAGCGGGATACAAGAACTACACAAACCCATTACACGGATGATAATGATATGCAAAATGTATTAGGAATGAACATAATAACATGTAAATAGAAAATAACTATTTCTAGTTCGAAATTACTTTCTTTTAATTGGTACTTATTTATATATATATAGTCAATATGGTCAATATATATATATTTAGTGACAACTTGTTAAGTACCTCGAAGGGTTCATATTTACAGATGAGACAAAGCAGCGACTCAGCACAATATATAAATCGAGTTTCTTACTAGGGCTATGTGTACCTGTGTTTGTAATTGATCTCTGTACTTAAATATGATGTTTGAGCATTTGCTGTCATGCCCGTTGCCTCAACCATTCCTGTTAAAATCACGACAACTTCAAACCAATTTTGTTTTTCGGATGCCAAGTATCTTGGCGGGATAGCTAAAAAGATTTAAAAGCATAAGATTACAAAATGAAAAAAGATAGAGGGACGGGGATGATTCTTAAAATTTGAATCCTCTTTATTTAGTCCGACTTCTGAAACGTAAAGGTTCGTTTTATATATTATCAATTCGGGATTTTATTTATCATAGTTTTATGGAACCAGCTTTTAAATAGAAAACGGAAAACTTTGGCACTGAATATTTAAAGTTATTTGATTTCACATTCTATGATACTTTCAAAATCATATTCAGTTTAACCTATAGCATTGCAAATACATTGTCAGTTAAGCAATTAATCGTATGTATGCTCCAAAACCGAGCAATAGTTAATTATTTAACAGAGGTTAGGTTCCTCCCATTAAATTTCACTGCGAAATAGATGATACGCTGTCTAGATTAACCGATGATATCAGTAAATATTATTCAATTTCAGATCGATTAGACTATTTTATAGCAATAGTTGGCAGTTAAGTATGTATATTGGGACTTGGCATAAGTTAATTTTAAAAAATTTAACGAACGAAATTCCATCCAATATATACTGCTTGTTGTGCAAAGTCGTGTAAGGTTATATATATATTAGAAAAATTACTATCCTATTAATACCGAAATGAGATAATTCTGATCAAATGAAAAACTATTTAGTAGCATCCAACTTGGGAAATCTATAATACATCCGCATAATACAAACGGTGATGAATACACAAATATTCAAGGTTCATAATAAAAACATTTGACTCAGCTACGGAATGTATTGTCATAAATTTTAAAATTAACGTCTGGTTTTAATACGCGATTAAACTTACGGAATGCATCACTATACAAATTTAACAATCAGATGTTTACTCTGATTAAGCGCGTGTCATTAAAACTGATGTACGCCGAAGAAAATATTTTTAAACAACTGCAGTCGAACCATAGTATGTTGAAGTAATTTTTTCAATTGCTTCGGATCATTTAAGGAGAAATTGAGAAGTGATGAGGAAATTTTATGATTGAACGAACTATTGGCTCGCGACGACAGAGACATCAAAGATATTTCAGGAAAAACAGTATTCAGGTATCAATGGACCATGCCAGAGAAATATCCTAAGAGCGCTATTGATCTATTTATAGGTTTATAATTAAATGTGGTGTTGACCGGACTTCAGACGAGAGACTTTTCACCTCGTGTTCGAAGCGAAGATTACTCACAATATAAAGGACTGTCTTTATCGATGACGTGACAATACTCCAGGGGAGTGGTCAACATGGCCAAGTTTGCATTACAAAATTTCAATTCCTTCTGCTCCAGCATGAACTCGTGGTCTTCCTCTTCTTCCTTACACTGGGGGGCTGAAATTGAAAAAGAGCAAAAGAATGACATGTTGGAAAACGTTGTTGTCATGAACTAGAACTGCATAGCTATATGTTTATACACGATATATTACTGTCTAAGTCAGTCACGATATATATAGTCTTTTATACTGACTCACCTCTCATAATAATTACTCGAGCTCGACACGAAACGCTCAACAAGAGACTTTTCCTTAAGTTTGCGACTCGAACCAAAAGGCACCTATGAATAGACAGAGAGTGTTAAAAATTCTCTAGACTTTAGCAATGCCCCGACCGCAGTTGGACACATGATGGTATTAACGAAAATGCGGAAATTCACAAATAAACTGTCGAAGTTTTGGTTGTATAAAAAGTAGCATTTCAATTTCTATTTGTAACCTATTCTTTGAAATATCGAAAATACACATGATACAAAATGTGTTTATTGTTATTCTTTATATATTCCATTATTATCATTCGAGGCATATATAATTACTATGAAAATAGTTAATTTTCCACTAACTTTTTCCCATCCCTTGTACAAATTACGGCGTTTTTGCTGTATAGGATAGTTTTACATCTTGCATCAGGTCTTGCCATTCTTGAAAAACACATTCCAATAACCCAAGTATCAAATATGGCTGACAACACACACTGGATAACAAGACAAGCAACTGCTCCTCTACAAGAGGTACCGATTGTACGGAATCCATAACCTAGAAATATCCAAAATTAATCAGAAAACGTTATTAGATGGGCATATAGACGAACAACGTTATACAGGTCTTGGTCGAGTTGGAATGGACCAACAACAATGACGTAAAAAGTGTAAACAGGTCTCTATAACAGAAATGCTTAATCGGCAGTTTCGGGAAGGGGTGTCACGTTAGGCCTGGCCTAGTCGCTGTTTTTCGGATTAAAAATTTATGGAAGAATATGGTTATCGAGATTGGTCTATTTATATAATTCTCTGTATGTAGTTGATAATTAGACAGTTGGCCAGTTGTCCTATTTTATCAAGCTATAGCATGATATACGCCATTCACGCAGTTAGGTTATTCGGACAAAGGCATAAAGTGGCAAAATAATTCAGTATTCCAGTGTATATTAGTTACAACCATTTGATCTGTGAGATTTGATGCTTCGCGCTCTCGTTATTGTATATAGAAACACCAGTGATTTGTTCTGATCCTGCGACGTTGACTTTGAAACAGTGACCAAAATGTTTTACGTTGGATTATTCGTCAGCGTTCGAAGAAATTAGATTTAATTTTAGAAGCAGAAGTACAAATTTGACAAAAGGCTAATGGCCGTTATTTATAGGACCTTAAGCTCCAAAGTCTGATGTGGCTTGCCAGGGGCGGATTAAGTGGTTGTGGTTGAGTGGCAGAATTAGCTCAAGATGAGTAGAGTTTGCGCAAGTACATGTCCAGGCTTAAGTTTAAAGAAAAATTGCGTTTGTCATTGAAACATTTTGTGCGCTATCGTACTTGATTTGTGAGCGGGCGAAAAATTTTCTTTTTGTTACAATATTCAAGGGATTACGGGACAGAAAGATAGATGATTTTTGATATTTTTTTCAAGAGTGCCCATAAATTTTTTAACATGACGGAACTACCGTCAAAAATACGTAACATTTTAGGATGCCTACCTATAGTAGTCTCAGATTCCATAGAAAATAGAAAAGCAGTGGCGAAGTCATAGACTCCTGATACACAAGGCTTGTCATTGAATCCAACAATTGTTTCTTGCGTTGAAGAATTGAGACTTATAATATCAGAAGTATTTGCATCCATCCCAAAGATTTTTGTGTAATCATCATGAGCGAATGCGAATAACCAATAAATAATTCCAAAAATAATCCAATGTCCAACATAAACCAGCGCTGTGAGGAGAATAACCCAAGGCAAACTTAGGTCGATTAATGTTGTGTAAATGTCTTTTGAGTACCGTGACATCCAGTCCAGTCTTCCAAATCTCTGGCAATGAAGAATATATGGGTCGCATAATTACATATCTCATATAGCAATAAAAGCAGATACAATTTTTAATATTATTAGTAACCTACAAAAGTTATTGTCTATTAAGTTATAAACCCAAAATGAATTCCACTGGTTCTACAAGCTATTTCGAACGCATACTGCGGAATATAATTTAACTAGAACTCAGTTGTCTTCCGCATTCCTCAACATCATCATTCACCAGCAAGTCGTTTCTCATATATGTTCTTAGCCCACCATTCATTCTATACAGGACATAGAACAACTATTATATTAGAAAACATGACTAAGAAAATGCAACGTTGAACTTAGTGTATAAATCATACCGACTTAAAAAAGTTGTGAATGATAAACAACCATAATATATTTCAAACACGTAATAGACAAAAATCATCGATGTTGTTAAAATATTGATATTTGATCTAGCACTATAATAGGTAAAATATCAGTTATTGCTAACATGTCAGTATTTACATGCAAAAGCCTATTCCAAAATACATAAAAAACAAAATTAATTGGCTTTACGGTTACTGATATTTTAAACCCTACGTGGTTAAGTTGGTTTATATTATGTTTTGTATGCAAACCTGACTATATAGATACTATAGCTATTACCGATTTGCATTATAAAATTTATTAATTCTGTTTTATAACGGGACCATCCCGTCATAAATATGTTATTAATTTTTTAATGAAATATTTTAAAGTCTCTTGAAATTTTGTAAAAGTATTCAATTTTTTTATGAGATTCGTTTATCATATTATAATAATCAAAATTCTTGGTAATATTGTGTTTGGTGTTTTATTTTAAAGTTTATTACAGAAAAATACATTGATAGAGCCGCAGAAATTCTTCGTCAGATAGCTTCTGCGCCCCGCAGTAAATTTTCAACAAGATTCAAAAACAAATTACCTTATATCTAACATTAGACGACCCATCTTTTAATACCATTCTTCCTTGGTAGGGTTTGAAATCTTTTCCCATGTATTTTCCTTTTCCAGCCCTTATTGATGAAAGCTGCACCGAGCGAAATTTATTTCGAAACTGGTGGTTGTTGGTGTTTGTCACAGGGTCATATAATCCTGAATGACCTGAGCTCATATTTCTAAACCTTTTTCGATTACTATTATTGTTTTGGTTGGCATTTGCGTATCTTGTGTTCAAGTCTGAATTTCTGAATGAAAGGAAATGCATTAGAAATTGATATTGTTCTTATGAACACATTGTCCCAACGAATGTTCATAGAGTTTCACATTTGTTTCAGGAAGTTATTGAAGAATAAGTTTATGAATAGAGTTGAGTCTGAAAACATTGCGTATTACATTCTGACAGTATTTAACGGAATCAACAGAAGCTTGAAAATTTGAAAACTAACTTACTGTAAAACAATGGGTTTATACGTGTTTCTCCGTACATTCGCTTATTTTGTGAAAAGTGAATCAAAACGCTATAAAAACTAATTTACTTTTCATGACATCCCCCGTCCATCCCATCCCCCTTTTTATACCATTCAACAAATCCAAATGCTCACTCAATCATGCTACAAAGTCTGAAACCACCGAAATCAATAAATCTGTTGCAACCTGGGCGTATAAGTGGGTTAGGACCTTGTGCCCTATTTAAAACTTCGCCGCATCTATGGTTATATTAATTCCTCTTTTTTAAATTCTTATCAATAGTTTTCGATACATATTTATTTATTATTATAATTAATTTCTCACTTTAAAAATGTCAAATTTTCTTCATCCGAGTCGAATACATCATATAGTTCATCATCAGAATCTGAAGCGCCATCCCATTTTGTGTTAGAAGCTCCTCTCTTGAAGTCTAATTATTTATCAAAATAAAGCTTTTAAGTTATATGAGTGGTGAATAATTTAATGATTGATTTCATGATTAAGAAACTTTAAGCGAAACATTCAAGTTTGATTGCGTGTTTAGCTGAATTATGAAATATATATATGTGGTGTTTTATATGACAGACGGATTTAGCAAAATCATATGTTTGATATGATGATTCATTACAATTAAAAATATGGTTTTCTTTATTTACCACCGAAAGATATTCATATTTGAAATCCGTATTTAAAAAAAAACACGGAACACGAAACACGAAAAAAATGAATCTTGTAATTTTTACTATGTTTAACTATAGGTATCATGTTTTCAGCATAATGACATACTCATTGTCTGCGTATGACATTCCATTTGGATGCGTTTCGTTAAACAAATGCTAAATTTATTTTCACGTGTCCCAAACAATAACGAAAAACATGTTTTTGAAAGAAAATAAGTTGTATTATATGAAGCCTATATACGAGTGCACTAAATCTATCACCTTGATGTAATCTTTGAGCCTCCATATCGTGCTCCCAAACGTTATCCGACCTGGTAAAAGAGCAAAATCGTTCGGTAAAATTCCAGCTGTTTCGCAATCCAGTGTTAGGTGAAGGACTTCTGTTATTATTTTTATCAAATTGTTCTGATTCCCGTTCCGAGTCCGATTCAGAAATCGTGGACGATATTGCGTCGCTCGATTCTGTTTCTTCACTTTCGACGTCGTCGCTGTCCGACGGAGTACTGGTTCGATGCGGGGACGTGACGTCCTTTTTTACCTCGTCCGCTGCCTCGAATGTCATGTTGTTTGACAAAGAATATTCTATTTATTATACTGTTAGCTAAGCAACCTATTGGAACAAAGTTGTCATGATAGTTTGCAAATATTTAACATCACGCCATGCATGAGGGGTAATCGAATTAGCTACTTTATTCGAGGCCATATGTGATGCAGATAAATTGAAAAAGTCCAACCTTTGTTTAATATTTACCTAACATATTACGGTCATACAAACTGATTAATCATTGAGTCGTTTCTCTTGAATTGCCAATGATGGAGGCGCTGCACAAAGGCATGGGTCAAATTATGCTATACTAGGTTTTAATTTCGCGTAATTTCATCTAAATTTCAAGACTTGTAAATAATAATCGACTTAGCACTTCTGCTGTTGTAAACCAGACGTATCTAATTTTAATTTTCAAAAAGAAGACAAGAATAAAACGACGTTGAGGCTATGCCTACGTTAGGTTTAATACAAAAAACTAAAACTCGTATATGCGACAAGCTTCGAACGTTGTATCGGTTCGAAATCTAGTGCACAAGATTCATAGCAAGTTCCCAGAACCATATTAAGTGTGACGACGTTTGAAGGAGGCTTTCGAAACCATACGAGCACGCACTATTGTATAAAACGGAAGACTTTTATTAAAAATATATTGCTTCAACATGAATTCATATCCATAAATAATGACCTCATACACTTTTATATAAATTACTAGAAGTTGCTGGGTGGTTCAATATTATGAATAGCATCTGACATTGTAAAGGTATGCTAAACTTGAGGCTGCGCGGGTGGACCTCAATTGTCAACTTGTTTGCTAACTTTGACACATCAGCGGATTAACTAGGTTAATACAAAGCAGTAATAATAAGAAAAAGATGTTTGTCCAATTATGGTTAATTAGCTGAATTTAAAAAAACTTACACGATGAGATTTCAAACATAGATTTCTGCTAACAAGAAAACCTAATATGATATCTTTCATTGCTATTATTCATCAAAGGCGTCATCTATACGTTTCTTATATCGGAAGCTGACGACATACACAGTCAAGATATGCAAAATATCTCGTTCATAAAATATCCTTATAAAAAACTCACATAAATCGTCACTAATCCGAGTAAAATCGAAGCATTTATTGCGAAATCATGAGAAGAGTTTTAATTTATCCAAATCATTATCCTTTATTAATCATTATCCGAATCAAAATATTAAACCTCCAATACAGTAGGACTTTCGGAGTTGAATATTTAAACTGCGCGACTTGAGTCATTACACTCGAACGGGCACTTCTGACATACGTGAAAGCATTTTATTAATGTGTTAACATTGCTTAATTAGGAAATAGGAGAAAGGGTTCAAAGTTTAACATCTGTTCATCGTGTAACCAGAGAATGAATATAAACTTATCTACTATCAAGCATGTACAACATTTAGGTGAAATCCTTCTTTATACATCTCGGGGATTGAAACGCTTAATAGGCAGTTTCAAGAACAAGAGTCACGTTAGACCTGACCTAACAGATGATTACCAGATTAAATAAATATAGAAGGTTGTGGTTTTTGATTTTGGTCTATTTATAAAATTCTATATATGTTATTGGTTAATTAGATAGTTAACCAGTTGTCCTTGTGCCCCAGAGGGTGGTTGTTGGCTTATGGTACAGCGTGTTTTATCAGAAGGAGAAATGCATATCAATGGAAGAAAATACGTGTGTGTGGATGGAATAAGGAAGAGAGTGAGGGTATGAGCGGATGTGGTAAATATTCATGCCTGCATATATTGCAACGTTTGACTGAACTGAATGCATTGGCATTCCAAAAATACTCGGCTTTTGCTAATTTTAAAAATATGCGTTTCTCTTGTTTGTAAGAGTATTAAAGAATTAACAGGATATTGTGCTGATGAAAATTGATGAGAGAAGTGACGCATGTTCGCAAAAAAATTATAACTCGACAGGGACGTTTTTAAGAGATGGAAGGAACACAAATCTTACTTGCATTGTAACATTGAAAACAATGAAACTTGCCGAATTAGTTTATTGCAGTCTATACCTGACAGTTTGCAACATCATGTTTTCGAATAATAGTTAGTGCGGTTCCGCTCTATAAACAAAAGAGCTCTAGAATATTGCATAAAAACAATTTATAAAAATCTAGACACAGAAATCTAGCGCACCTGAACTCTTGTTCATTTAAGTACATGAATAGGAAGAACCATAGCGAACCATAGGCCCATTTTAGGGGGCTCCCGAAGTATGCGAACCAAGATGGCGGACATCGTAACGTAATATGTGTACTAGGTTAGGGTTAGGCCATAATTTTAGGTATAAATACTACGGGAGGCTCTTGGCTAGTCTTCGAACTGATAATGGGACTAAAATAACGAAAATTGGAAAAAAATTATCGCCTAACCCTAACCTGTTACCCATGTTACGTTCCGATCCGATGTCCGCCATCTTGGTTCGCATACTTCGGGAGCACCCATTTTAGACTAATCGTATTGCTGAAGCTTGTGGCAAATTTTTATGAAGGGACAAAAATAGTCACTCCTCAAGTATACGTACCAAGATCGCGGATACCCGACCGTAGTATGTGTACCGGGTTAGGGTCAGGCCATAATTTTAGGTACAAATACTCCGTTAGTCACTTGGCTAGTCCCCGAACTCATAACAGAACTAAAATAAGGGAAATTGGAATAAAATTATGGCCTAACCCTAACCCGGTATACATACTACATTCCGGTGTCCGCCATCTTGGTACGCATACTTCAGGAGCACCCAAAAATTTATCTCAAAATGTCAAGTACAATAATTCCACACTCCAAATTAAATGAGTCGCTTTTCCACTCATAAGTCACAACACGTCAAACGTTATCCTAAATAAGCAAAGACATGGAGTTTTTGCTCCTGAAATTACTATTAGATACATGATACGTCTAATCGCCAGGTTCACAGTAACAAATCGGTCGCCATTTTACTGAATATGCTTGATTACAGCGACTTTTGAAATGTACCAATGGCCTAGTCATAAATATATGAATAAGCTCAGAAAATTCTATTACTCGTGTCTAATAACAGTAAAGTATAAGACCAACTCGGAAGCATTTTTACAGATCTAATATAAAAAACAATTCTTAAATCTTATATCTATATCGTTAAAATATCCTCAATTGAATGTACCAACGTACTGAGAACTTTCTGCTTCCAGTATTTACTGTGACCCTATAAACGTAAAGAAGCAGAAAACTAAATTCTCAATTTCACAATCTCGTGACTTAGATTATTTTTAGGCGTAACAAGGCGTAACAAACCCCGAAGCTATTACGTGATATTTTCACTTAGCATACACGCGCGAACCGAATAATAATCTGAGTGTGTGACTAATGCTGGCTAAAACATGGCAATCCGTAATAGTTTTATAATATCATGATTTCCGAAAGAAATGGCTCCTCTGAAATTGTTTTACACGCAAAGACCACAATCTAATAAATTATATTAGATTTATCAGGTTTTATTAGAATTATCCAATAAAATACATTAGGCATATATATGTTAATATTGTCGCAGTATTAAAATAAGATGTCTTTTTTCAATGCCACAGTTTAAAAAAAACACTTTAATATTGTTTGAATGTGGATTCCAAAATGTTCAAATTATTTCAAGCTTATTTAAACTCATCAATTCCAAAGTTTGAATAACGCTTTAGTTACGTCATGTCAAATTGTATTTTAGCTACATATATAACTAATTCTTAATTTTGACTGAAGGAATTAATCAAATCCTCTTTGCAAGTTCACCCCGCGCACAAAATATAAAATTGATAGAAACGTTTATTTGTTTGATATTTCTCCCGAAATTTGCAAATAAAATGACCAACATGATTTAGTAATGAGGTAGTATTTGTGTATCTGACAACTTTAAACTTGCCATTAGTTTATTATTCAATTTTTATCTGGCTGAAAAATAACATGTTAGCGGGCTTGGCGATTACTTAATGTAGCTTTTCAAAATTCTTTTCCCACATTGGAATTCTATCTCCTTAAAATATCACCTCTCTCGTTCTCTTGGTTCCTTGTCGTTTTCTTACGATTTCATTTTACTTACTAAAAGTCCATCAATGTCAAAGAGTGAGAGCATTGAACGGTAGCACAGCACAAATATTGACTGCAATAAAATTGTTACTCGATACAAAAGCCGATTTCGTTTTACTGGCCGTAACTGTGCACTTTATACAATTCTCAACATAACAAATATCCCGTCAAGAGCTATTAACGTATTGTACTTTTAAAAAATACACAAATTTAACTAAGATAAACAGAAATAAATAGAATGATCTTATTACAGCTTTCTCCAGGAAAATTATCATGGAACATTTTATCAAAGAATATAATTTTACGAGAGGCTTTTGCTGCGAGCAAGGCCTTGGCCAGCAGAGAAGGAGCTAGCTACTATATTTTTAAGAGTACGGGTATCTTTAGGATTCGTTATCAAATATGTTGCATCAGACGTCAGGGATTTGTATTTTATATATTTTTACTTTCGATGTTTTAACTGATCGCAAAGTCTGCTACAATCAACAGATTCATATGTTGTTTATATTTCATAACTTCAAAAACTATATTACGTTAAAAATCACAGACATAGTTTTGGTTTTTTAAGCATTAATATTCTAAAACAAATAGTGACATGCTTGAAATGCATTGAGTGCACGCATAGTGTGTGACACTACAACACGGACAACTGGATAAAAATTGTTTACCGGGCTGAAACTGTACATAAACAAGGTTTCCCTTGTTTTCGAGCATGAATCACATGTAGATAACATACGTAAAAGCAAAAACTGATGATTCAAAAATATGAGTTGCATGGCTAAGACATTATTGGAGTTGAAAGTCACCAAAAACGATATAAGTACTTTGCATAATAAAATTAAATTCAGGTTTAATGCCAAACTGCGGCCTATATCTGGCACAGAATGGTTTCCGATCGAATTACGCAACAATAAATAATAATAAAAATTGAGTTACCAAAATAAAATCAACTGAAAATTTCAAGTTATACTCAAATAA